TCACCCTCCCATCCCCGCTTTTGAGGCCCCCGGGCCCACCACTCCGGGCGGCCGGCCCCGCCTCGGCTGGCCAAATGCGGTTCCCCTCACTTGACAAACGGTTCAGCCGCGCCACCAAACTCAGGCACCGACCACCTCGTTCCGGCCCAAGGCAGTCGCTCTGGGGCACCCGGCAAACCCGCCGGGGCCGGGGGCCCCACCGGGATGAAGCGGTCCTGCACAGAGAGAGCCGGAAAAATACAAAGGGCCATGGCCCTTTGGCGCGTTTTATGCCGCAAAGGGCATAGTAAATTTTGTACACGCGCGAAGGCCATACACTTGAGCTCCGTCAGTCGGTCAGTCGGTCGGTTGCATGCTTGCTTGCTTGCTTGCTTGCTTGCTTTCTTGCCTGCCTCCTGCCAGCTTGCTCGGTTTGTTGGTGCATTGGTTGGTCTGGCTGGCTAGCCGGCTGGTTGGCTGGCTTGCTTGTTCCTTTACAACTTTGGTACCAATGAACCTGCCGACAGCCGCTGTCCTGAGAATGCCACTGCAGCTGCGGCGGCTGCAGCTGCGGCGGCTGCAGCTGCGGCGGCTGCAGCTGCATCTGTGGCCTGCAAGGCAACCGGAGGCGATACTGAGCCGTGGATCATCATAGAGCGATGAAATAGATTGATGATTACAGGGGAGGGGGAAATGGGGAGGGGGAAAAGGGGAGGGAGCCAAATTCGCTCTTACTAAGCCCTGAGTATGATCAATGTGGTCGTCAATGAATGATCACCCTTCCTCTTTCCATGAATTCTGGCACAAAATATTGAGTCTGAAAGCCTATGGCCCATTGCCCCCCCCCAGGTCTGTGGTGGCTATGAGGTATAGAAGAGCTACCTCTGGCATGCGATGGTTTCGCATGCGCTGTCTGACCTGCTGGCCCTCAGCTGGCAGCTGAGGTTGCAGGGGTCTGACACGGGGCCTCGAGAAAGAAACCCATGCACTCAGCCCGGCTCTTGCCGTGATCTCAGACTCATCTGTTGAGGGTCCTTGTTCCTCCAGTCCCGAGAAAGGTCCCAAAGAGGTCTTTGATGCTAAGCTTGTGCTGACTTGGCTTCCGTTGTGTTTGGCGGGCCCGCCCGGCAGTAAGCCCGCCCCCCAAGTAAGACCCCACAAAGCTTTGAGGGGAGTTCCTGGTCTTGACAAAGGAGTCTCAGGAAGCGGTATCTTTGGGGGACGGTGACATTTCGTGCCGCGAGCTCTTTGTCGCACCTGGGTGCTAAGGCCCTAAACGGGAAGAATCCTCCGCGGTTTGGGTTTCCTTCCAACACAGAGGTCCAAAAACCGGGCCCTGGCCAGCAGCGACGGTCCCCTCGCCTTAACCCAGGCACCCAGGGCGGCCTAGGCGGAGGAGGAAGACTTTGTTCTTCGCCGACAATGGTTGTGTCTTCAAGAAAAACCGCTTCCTTCAAAGGAAAGAGGAGGCAACCCACTTTTGTTGGTTCAAAGCGGTTGACATCTCGAAAGATTCGGCACCAGAAATTTCGGGGCCAAGAAAGGAAGCCTCATGGAGGCTGCAAACCACTCGTGAGGTCGCGATTCAACTTGCCATGGAGGTGTGCAGCGCTGTATGAGGGGAGGTTGAGGCGGGCGTTTCGAGGCTATAGCTCGGCGAAGCTCCGGCCCACCCTTGCATGGTACCTTTCCAGGATGGTGGTGAAGGGGAGCAGAAGCAAAACCAAAAGTTTGGAGGTCCCTATGTTGAAAAAAGGCAATTGTGTGGGATTCCAAAGCAACACGGTTGGATCAACCCGGTCACTCTCCCTGCGATTGTTCTTTTCAAATGACGTCATCTCATTCTTCGACTGGCTTGCTTGCCAAGGGACCCAGAGATGCAAGGTTGGGCTGATCGAGGAACGGGCAAATCCGGAGTGCGTACCCATTTCCGCTCATGCACAAGAACGCGCACCGGGCCATCTGTTTGACTCCAAAACAACTGCGAATTCATCCCGTGAGCGCTGGCGGCAACTGCCCGGAGCTCGCCCACCCCCCAGCTGCAGCCCCTCTTGGGCTTCCCCACGCTGGCTGCTCCTGCGTTGCCTCGTTGGATCCTGGACTCGACATGGGCACGTCACCCGAAGACACTGAGGTCGACGGTCGGCGTAACTTCTTCTTTGGGGGCGGCTTCCCAGCACACCATAGCTTGGTCATGGTTAAACCCTAGACCTAGGAAACGCAGGATTTAAATTTTCGCCTTGTTCGTCATGTTGGTCAAGGGACAAAGATGCAAGATGGTCCCTGACCGAAAGAAGGTTTCGTTGTGTTTTGACACTGAGCCAGAAACACACCAGGGAAGAGCTACAGGGTTCTGGAGGGGCTCACCTAGCAGGAAACAACCCCCAACACAAAAAAACGCAGCGGGTTGACCGGAACAAATAATTATGACGCGAAAACAAGCAACTGCTGGACAAATGAATGCCTCAACTCAGTTGTCGCACACAGGCCCACAGTTCAAACATGAAACCCAGATTGCCAAATGACATTGGAGTTCCTCTTAAGAAGCAGCCAACGGCAAGTCCGGACCATATATTTTTTGCGCGCCCCGTCCTGTTGACCCATCCTGCCGCTGCAGCTCCTGCTGCGGCGACATGCGCCGCAGTGGGGACCGAGGATCGAACTGCGGCGTCTGGGGCGTGGGGGGCCTCAGCGATTTGGCTGCCCCGGAGGTGCTAGACGCCATATCAACCACAGCCCTTCCGAGTCACAACGTGGTATGCCTATTCCCCATCATGCCAACCGGTCTGCCTTCAGCACTTCTTCACGCCTCTGCATCTTGCGGGGAAGGCAACATCTTCCTTGAACACAACAACTTTCGCAGTTGCACGTCTGCCCCAACCCACACACACGGCACGGGCACGCGCACATTCGCTCATGCCGTCGCCGCCCGCCCGCCCTCGCCTGCACACGCGCCCCAGCGCGCGCGTGCGCTCGCATGCGCCCGCAGAAAAAGTTAGAAGACGAGAGCCTTCAGCATGCTCCCATCACTCTCCAAGGCTCCGGCGCGGGCGGTGCCCAGGACTCCGGCTGCGATTGGCACCTGGCCGCTGTCACGCGGTCACAGCCCCGCCCGGGGCAAATGGTGGCTGGAAGTCAATTTGCTCAAACCAGCGGATTTCTTGGGGGATGACGGTTGAAAGAAATCCAAAAAGGACCATAAAAGAACCCCCATCTTTGAGGGGTCCTACTTTGACAAATTCCCGCAGCACCCTGGCCAGCTAAAGCCCGCAAGCCTTGAAATTGGCCGAGCACGGGGCGGCCTTGGTGCATGCGAAAATGCCGTCCTCTTCCACAGGGAGTGTTGGGGAAGTCTACAAAGTGGGTGGGTCTCTTTTTCGGTGGCTTTCCTTGTAACCAACCCCAGAAACCCATGGAAAGCCCGTCTGTAAGTTTTCTGGAACCTGCCTTGTGGACCCTTTCTAAAAAGAAATACTGCTTCTGTCGCCCGGGGTTTCGGGGGCGCGCGGTACCTCTGTGTTGCAGTCTTGAAGACCTTTCACACCAGGTTCCAAGCAGCACAATGTAGATCAGTGTACTGTGCTGTACAAGCCACCCTTTGGAGAATGTCCGAAAGGAGGCATCGGAAAAAGGATGGGCCACATGCACACAACTGCAAACATGGGAACATGCTGGCAAGTCTACCAGCCAAAAACCGCACATCCTAGAAAGCGACATCCAAAGATCGATCAAAGTGCAGGGAGTGCCCAACCAACAAAATGCCTGGTGCCAAAATATTAGGGAGACTCCTCTGCGGCTCCTGTTTGTATCACGGGATTAGTCCTACACGCCACTGAAAGGCAACATGTGGCCGTGGAACGCTGCGGCGGCGCGCAAAAAGTCAAGCTGTCTGGTTGAGAGTCTGTGGGCGAACTCCGGTGCTTCAGAGTGAGGGCTCCTTGGCCTTTTGACCTCACAAATCGACACAAAGCTCTTGTTGTTCCTTGTGAGCAGTGAGCGCGGAGCTTGGTCAGCCCTTGTGTCTCTGTCCAAAAGCCTCAAGGTTTGGTGGAGTCAGGTGCTTTAATTTAACCTGACCAAACAATGCACGCGTCTTTCTCGGAGGGTACCCTTTTGGGGTTCTTTCGAGCGGGGAATTGCCATAAATTCATGGGCCTCTGTACGTTGCCGTCACCAAAAGCTACTCCAAACGCTGCTGGGCCGCTCGAAGGACGCGCTGCCACTGTGCCCTGGCGATTTGTTTTCTCGGGTGTTAAACAGAAACGAGAGCCCCGCGGATCTTGAAACTTGGGGAACCATGGGAACCATCAAAATAACCGCATTGCCGGCGCCAGCACCTATTCCATGGACATTCAAATTCCGCTCGTTGCGAGCCTTGTGCCAACAGCAGAAGCAAAAGTCCCCCGAGCAATGCTGAGCGAACAACATGCAAAGGCTCGCGATGGAAGTCATGAGGAAAGCATTGGCACGGTCATTGATTACAAAAAGCCCCTGGTGGAGGGCCATGGATGCTCTTTTCTGTTTGGGCACCAGTCGGAAAATCAACAAGCTGGGGGGGAGCCATTTGTCGGCTGCTGTGTGACTGAGTGCAAGCGTGGCTTGTTCTTTGCAGTGGATTTCCATTGGGAGCAAAGGAGGTAAGCCTATTCACAACACCAACCAAGTCTTGGGATCTCATCGCATCAGAGGAAATATGATCATGCATCGCCGTACGACATGACCTTGTGTGGGTCAAAGCTACAAGGGCGCTCGCAAGATCGACAAAGAGTTCCCAACGATTTTCAGTCCCGAGCTTCCAAATTCCCCTAAGCTCCATATGGACTCCTGTCAGGGGCATGCCAAACCAACTCCCGCGCTGAAAGCTGCACATCAGAGTCCCAGTCCCAGGGTTGAAGGAGTTACTGTAGTTCAAGTCACCTCTTAGGGATTCCAATCTGGTCGGTTTCCTCTTGCTTCCCCTTTACCATCCCATCGAGGCATACCAAAAGGCCCGGCACCTTCTACAATCCGACAGGCCTGAGCCGTAGGGCGCCTGCGGCCGCACCGCAGGCGCCGGTGCCTGCGCGCGCAAAGTTCAACCGAAGCGTGCCCGAAGCTTGACACTTGTGGCTCAAATCACCCGAATGAAGGCATCTCGAGTTCAGGAAATGGGCAAGAGCAAATTGGATGCGAGCCGCCGGGGCCCCGGTTTTCCCATGTTCGATTCAAAGATGCAGTGTCAGCCTGGAAACATCAATGTCAGCAAATGCAACGTCCTTTGAGGTTCGTATTGAAGGCCTTTTGGTCAAAGCGTAGGACAGCCGACCCAGACTCATGAATATGACTCTACTTATGAACATGACTCAGCTTACGAATGGTTCGAGGTTCTTCGGCTGCTCAAAGATGTGAGGCTCTGCTTCTTTTGGCCGTTCAGATCCCAATGTTCATTTTTGCGAGTTGAGACTGTGCTGTGTTCGGTCTTTCGCGCTGGTTGAGCTTGTGACGGTGCTTGCCTTTTTTTGCTTCTTGTCTTTGTTCACAGCTGCATGGGCTTTGACTTCAAACCCAACGTTGCCACAGCAAGCACCACAGTGAAGGTGTAGAGGGACTTTATGGGCCAAGCAGTTTTCCATTTGCGATTGGAAGCTTCCCTCCCCAATGCTTTTCCGACCCACAGGGTTCCATGTTTTACCCCAAGGACTGAAACCCAGGGCCTCAAAAGGGTTCCAGGGCTTCCATTTGGTTTCCTTTTGGTATCCTTTTGGTTTCCTTTTGGTTTCCCTTTGGTTTTTCAGGGTACCCTCAAAACCTGACACACCCATTTTCGGACCCTCCAACCCCCCGCAGAGGGGAAAAAAAAGGGGGGAGGGGGGGGAAAAAAACGCTTTAAAAAGAAAAAGGGCCCCCCGGCCTCGGGCAGAGCGGCGTCGAGGCGGCGCGGGGGCCCAGCGCCGTTCACCCGCTGGAAGCGCTTCGCGGGGAAGGTGCGGTGGGCATAGTCCTCGCGGGGCGTGTATTTGTTTGTTTTGTTGTGTTTTGTTCTCTGTTTTTTTTTTGGGGGGGGAACATTGGGCGGACCTCGTTTTTCCAGGATTTATGAAGCCACACCGGCGATTCTAGGTGGTGGGTATGTGTGAAACATGGGCGGGGACGCCAGAAAAGTGCCGTGTGTTTCTGTGGGTAGGTGTCGAAAAAGGGATTTGGACCCCCCAAGTTGCCCTTTCCCTTTAAGGCCACGCAGGTGTTGATACATCTCGCCAACTGCTCCCTCCGGAACCTGACCGGATCCAGGCCTTTCAGCCTAAAGGCATCCGCAGTTTTGGTGATGCAAAGCATCTGAGGCTTTCCCAACAACCGCTTTGACCCTCGTGTCCTGCACATCGCGGTGCATCACCGCCAGCTGGTCTTGCAGAAGCTTCCAACCTGATGTCCAGGTTCTGCTCACCATGTTTCGCCCACCCGATATACAAGAGGGTTATTTTTTGGAGACTCCGGTTTGGGATTCCTGTTTGATTAGAAGAAAAAGAGGAAAGGGGGTGAAGTGGGAGCCTGGCCTCAGCCAACGGAGTCAAACGGATCCTGAAACAAGGGCCAGACTTGATTTAGACGCAAGACCACAGTTTTGGCTGCAAGGGCGGAATCCTTTCGATTCAACTGCAGGCCAACGACCTAGTTGCCCCTTGTTCAGGAGCGCCTAAGAAAAGGCGGACACAAAACATTGCCGGAGCGCGCAACAGTTTACAGGTGGGCACACTGGCGATTCCTCACTTGCTCGGGTCTTTCCAAGCCCGAACCGCCTCTGGAAACATGTTTTTGCGAGCGGATGGGTGGCCGACCGTGGACCAGCCCCGCCAAGGATTTTCCAGGAACAACAACTAGGGAGGTGAAGAACTCCCGAATTTGGCCAGTACAACTGCATAACCTAACAAGCTTCAACCGGCTACATGAGTGGGTGAGCCCTCGTAACCCCAAGTGCTTCCAACGGACAGGTTCGCTGAAATGGCCCCGTTCTGGACAGTGCCGAACCGAAACGTGCCGCTTTCAACAGCGACAATTGCCTTCCACTCGACTCGTCAAACCGGCCACGTCGCCAGCTTTTGTTGTACCGACCGAGCCCTTCTCTGGGGCTGCCGGCACTCTTGGTCGGCGGCGCTGGAAAGGCTGCCCAAGATGTCGGACATCGGAGTGCCTCAAAAGCAGGGCCCTGTTTCCTCTGCAAGAAGCGGCGGAAAAAAAACAACAAAACGAGGGTCCGAAGAATCAAAGTAGACACCTTCAGGGCCTCCATGCCTTGTTGCCAGCCAGGTACGCAGGTTTCTGCCAGAGGACCTGGAAAAAATTGAGCTCGTCCCCTAGCTGATGGACTGCCAGTACGTAAGTTTGACCGAACCAAGCGGAAAGACGCTTTCCGGCGCTGCAAGAGCCGTTGTTGGTTTTGCTTTCTGATTCTTGAATTCTACGTCGGCTGGAAGATTGCCGTCCCCAGGGAACAACTCGGAATGAGGCAAACTAGGACAGCGAGCCTCGCACAGAAAGCCTTGGATTCACCAGTATGTTGGGTCCGTCGCCGACCGAAACATGTTGCAGCCAGCCCTGCAACTTGACACCTCACTAAGCCCCTACCAGCGTTGGCCCAATCTTGTTTGAACATGGTTAAACCATATTTTAACTGTACCGTTTCTTGGATTTCCTTCAAAGGCGACTGGGACCTCTTCGTCTTGCTTCCAAATCTCGGTACCCGGAGCCTACCGCACCCCCTTTTCTTGGTTGCTGTTGACCCGCCTGCAAAAAGTGAACAACGTTTTGGGGGTTTAGTGGAAAACCCCTTGATTTCAACCAAAAAGTTAAGGTCCAAAGATCCAACCCAATAGCAGTCAAGTTTCCCCCCTCCCCCGGCCCACCTTCATCCGCCATGGCCTCAGCCTGCTGCGCCTGTGGCGAAGACTCCGTCAGCGCAGGTGGCGCCGGCTCCAGGACCTCACATGCAGTCCGATGAATCAATTACCAGTTGGCGGTGGGTCAAAACCCCCTGGTGAACATCAAAATAGGTGGCAAATGGATGTTCATCCACCCAAAATGGAGCCATAGGTTGTGCCCCATGGCCAGTTGAGCCTTGGAGTTGTGCGTGAGCCCTTTGCAGTATTAGGTTCTTGCCCAAAGCAAAACCGCTCTGGCCGTGGGATTGCTAGTGCGCAAAAGCTCAAGTGTCCACGTCGGACTAATTGAAGTGTTCAGCCAGTTCAGTTTGGAGCCTTCCGTCATCGCAAGGAGTACTGTCGCTTCAATTCGCCCAGATCATCAAGGTAACTCCAATCACGTAGAACGCTTTTTCCAGCTTCTTGACAGGGATTGAGTTGTAGTCATGATTATTGAAAAGCTCGTGCGAGTACTCTTATTTGCAATTGTCAAAATCCTTCTTATCCTGCTTCTCCATCAATAAACCAAAGAGAAAGACGCATAACCATTTGAAGAGTTTGATGTGTCTGGGCCTAGGGCTGAGCCAGGTACAAACCCCAGCGGCACAAGCTGGACGTTGAAAATCCCCCCCCCCCCCCCCCGGCCCCCCGACCCCCCGGCCCCCCGGCCCCCGGCCCCCGGCCCCCCGGCCCCCCGGCCCCGAATTCTCTCGCACAAGTAGTCAAATTCCCCCCCCCCATTCCAACTATACAGATCGAAGAAGCTTTTGCCTCACAATTTACTATAATGCACCAACCGGAAATACGGAATCCCCAAGACACCTTCATCCTGGGTGAGGTCGTTTGACTTCCAAGCCCGAGCTCTACGGGCGTTTCAAACGCTCGGGCCGCTCAATTCGCCCTTTGGCCATGTCGCCAGCTCGTCGATTTCCTCGGCCTCTGCGATGCCCAGACGCCCTCGGCTTGGGACCTGAGCGCGATCCCATCGCGCCCCACAAATAGGGAAGGTGTCTCAACATCCTCAAAATGGCGGCGTCCTTTTATTTATTCCTTGTATTTCTGGGGGGACCTCCTTTTATGCCTTTCGAACCATTAACCTGGACTGGAATTGGCACCATGAAAAGCCCTGGCTCTGCAGCTCAGCCCCATGGGTTACCCGGCAGAGTTCAGCGCGGAGGCCAAGCCCCGGTCGCCTGCCAGTGTCAACGTGGGCAGCAGAGACGTCAGCTCCTGCGGCAAGAGGCATGCCGAGCACGGGGTAAACAGCGGGGATCCGGAAGGGAATCTGGGACTTGATTGACATTGAGCACTTGGCTCCAGCGCCATATTTGCTCCAGAATCTCCTGTCAAAGGGTAGCCATATTTGATTCGGTGGATGTGAGAATTCTTCTTTGCAAAGGGTGCCTCGTCCTGGTCAAATCATGATAAAACCACAGCAGCGTAGTCTTCTCACGGTTCCATGGTGAGGCGGGCTTGGGCGGTCAGGGACAGTTTGGGATCCTTTGGGGTTCATTTCGGAAAGCAACGAATCCGTTGTGGGTTCCTGGGAGTGGGGAGGGTGTAGCGAAAACATGTTTCTGTATTCTTGGATCCACTCTTTGCAAGTTGCTTTTAACAAAGGATGTCTCTTCACACATGTGCAACAAACCGATCCAACTGTCCCAACATGTTCCGAAGCATACTGCAAATCACAATGGAGCGCAAGGAATCGATACGACCTCCCGGACTACCTTCCCCCCACCTAAATTCAAACATTTCTCCAAAATTGATATGACTAAAGTTGTTGACTGCATCTGAATATCTACAGTATTGGCCTCAGAACTCTTTTCAAATATGAATTGGATATTCCATTTATAGTCCATTCTGTCGATCTAGTTGTGCAGGGTCCATGCAAGTGACCAAACCCAAAGACACACGTCCAGAACCGGAAAAGCAAACCGACGGGAACAAAAACAAACAACCGGGGACAGAGAAAAAGACAGACGTGTTTCTCCTAGAACCAGATGACTTTCGGTGTTTCTTTGCTGCCGGTTTGCTTCAGCTTGTGTATATAGGATCAATGATTCAAATGTTTTTTTTTTTGTTTTTTTTTTTTTTTTTTCGTGGCTTTAGAAAACCCCCTCATACGACTGGTGTTGGACCAGGCGGAACATTCTGGTAGTTTAGAATTGGTTTGGTACTTGTCAAGTCTAGGTTAGTATCGATGAAATTCGGGCTGCATATGATGAGGGGACCTTGTTATTAGGGAGAGGTGATTATATTCACATATGATACCCACCCCATCCGGAAATTCTCACGTGTTCAATGGGCCTTCCAATAGCCTTTTAAAGGGACCATCTGGCTCAGACCTCTCAACAGCAATTGTCTCCCAGGCCTGTTCCGGAAGGTTTGATTCCCTTTTGGTGGACCTCCCTACACCTCAAAGGCACCCAGTTCTTGACGCCCAGACCGGCTTCCTGGGAGGGGAAGGGATCTGCTTCTCCGGCAGAAACTGGCTACATGAAATGTTGTGGCGTGGGTGTGGGTCAACATAAAATCACCAGGGGACCGCAGAGTTTCTCCATGTTTCTACTTTCCAGGGATCCATTTCGAGTACCTATTCTTGACCCACAGCCACGTGACCTTTTAGCCCTGCCCGTCTTTTTGCTTGGGCGACGATGGACGAGTGAAGTGAGGATGAGTGGGGAGAAAGAGATGTCCTGTCCTTCCTATCAACTCCCTGTAACTCGTGGATCATGTAGGAAGGACATTATGTGTACACCTAACTCCCTTTCACCTCTGTATCTAGGATGTGATTAAGAGGTGAGAAAGGGTGGGGAAAGGTGGAATGGAGATGATTCCTTCCTTGTCTTTCATTGACCGTCAGGACCTTATCTTATCCATTCCTTACCTTTCTTTACTATTAATCCGTGTCCTTTCTATATTCTGTTTCTCTTGGACACGGCCGTTCTCCCTTCCTTCGTCTCAGAGATTCCGAAGGTTCCGAACGGAGAAGGGAGAGAGGAATAGAGGTGAAAGAAGCCGAGAAGCGAGGCACCTCTTCCTTATCCCTCCCTCACCATTCCTTGCTCTCCCTGTCTTGTCCTTTCCTTCACCTTCGCTCATCCATTGGACGCGACAGCCGGGAGCGGTCAGGAGTTAATCTTTCCTATCCCTTCCTATGACTGTTGGGTCTTTGCAGAAGTGACTTTATGAGACCCAACAAAGGAGAAAGGGATAGAAGGAATAGACCCAACGGTTAAAGGGATCCCAGCGAGAGCGGAGATCCCCGTCCTCCTGCAGAGGGGGCGTGCCCGCCGCAGGCGTGGCGCCCCGGGGCATGGAGACGAAGACGTGGGGCACCTGAACCGGTGGGTCTGATGGCTTTGGCTTTGCCTTCTAACCCAGTGGTACCCTCAAAAACAAAACACTCTGGTGGCTCTGGGTCAAAACGCTGTGAACATCAAAATAGGTGGTACCAATGGGTGTTCATCCGCCCCAACATGGAGGCATAGGTTCTGACCCATGGCCACCTGATCTTTCCCATGATTCACGCGCCTGTGCGCCGGGCTTCGGCGTTTGTCTTGAAATGCGGGCACCTCTGGGGGGGAAGTAATGAAGCAAAATCATGAGAATTAACCACTGATCCCAGGAACCCTGAATCTTGAGACCTCAGGTTGGGGGTGCTCGTATGCGGGCAGGGCATCATGAAATACACAACTCAACACAAATCCATATTTCCAAAACCATAGTTTCCAGCGGCTGAAAATCGGAAACCGCCCGTGAATCCTTCGTGGGTGAGCTCTTTTTACGTGGTGAACCTGCCGCAAGGCAAGTAGAATTCGCACGCGGAAAATGAGTCCATGAGCATTGCGGGGAAAACATAGTGATCCGCCTCTGTGAGCGTGAATAACCGCACAATTGGCGCGTCTATCTCTGTAGAATGGGAAAGGCAAGAAAGGTGGGTAACCTGCTTCGGATAAAATAAACGCCTATATCATTAAAATTGAATTCCGGAGTAATTCAAAAACCAATTTAGTTCTTCTCCGTGTAAACTATTAAAACCTTATTGGAAATGGTTTGGACCCTCATATTCTTTTGGTGGATGGCAACCCAGCTGCAATGAAACAAGCCAGGATCACCAGGACGCTCAAACCAAAAAGAGCAACGACAAAGTTGGCACGCCATGTCACCCATCCTCACCTTTGTTTGAATCAGATCGTCATGGTTGTGTGTGTGTGTGTGTCAAATCACGGACCAAGCGGAAACAGGTACCCTCAGAACAACACAGACCCGGTGGAACCCTTTTCAGGTTGGAGCCCAAAGGAAGCCCTGGTTTTTTCGGGGGTGGAAAAGAAATCATGTTTGACACAGACCCATAGATCATGTATCATACAAATCAGTCGAAGGCCAAGGCACTCCCTCATCGCCGGCCCCCGAAAAAGCCGCCGGTGAGTTCATGGGCGTCACAGGCCGGTTCTTGCCTGGCTCAACTGTTGGCGGGGAATCCCCATCGAACCAAGATTGTCACCAAAAAGATATGCTAACTAAAATTTGCTTAGGTTTAGTCCAGTGTTGATTTAGGGTGGGTTTAGGAATGGTGTTTAGGTTTGGTGTGGGAGTGGTTGGTTTGGACACAACTGAGTGTAAAGACTAAGGACTTGGATGGCATTGAAAGGGCCATCATGAACCTTGCAAAGGCCAAGCAAAAACACGAGTGTGTCAGGATCTCCTTCCTCTGCGTCGATGCAACCGGCTGGGTTTCATGGAAAAACGCAGTGAAACCTTCAACCAGCTACGAGAGACCTCAATCTTGATACATTGCCAGAGAAGGAACAAAAAAGGTCGGACAATAAGGCTTCATGTCGCTGCCTTTTTGACTGGAGCCCCATTCAACAGTGCTGAAATCGGCAACTCACCTCGCCAAAGTTTACAAGGGTACGAGCACAAAAGTAACATGGTGCCATTATGGCGTCATCACGAAGGGATACAACAGGCATGCAAATATGCATCATCCGTCAGCCGAGAGATGTGAGAGGAGAGTATCAACGCACTGGCACTGAAGGGGAGGCCCTGGTTTCACATCAGGTTGACAAGAAATGAGATTCAAACAAAAAGGCAGGCAAGACCTGAGGGCGACTCTTGTCGGTCAGGTGAAGTAATGGTCATCAGAGTTCAATGAGTTGCGCCAGGCATCAGGCTAGACGTTTATAAGCAGTTTCCCGGTCTGTTGTGGCTTCCCCGCTTACACAATGCCCATGTATGCCACAGAGAGAGAGAGAGAGAGAGAAAGAAAAAAACAAGATAGCAAGACACAGAGCGAGAGAGAGAGAGAGAAGAAGAAGAAAAAAAAAGACAGAGACACAGGCAGAGACAGAGACAGAGACAGAGACAAAGGGGGAGAGAGAGAGAGAGAGAGAGAGAGAGAGAGAGAGAGATAGAGAGAGATAGAGAGAGATAGAGAGAGACAGCGACAGCGACAGCGACAGCGACAGCGACAGCGAAAGAACCACAGACAGAGACAGGGACCTCTCTCTCTCTCTCTCTGTCTCTCTCGCTCTCTCTCTCTCTCTCTCTCTCCCTCCCTCTCTCTCTGTCTCTCTCTCTTTCTCTCTCTCTCTGTCTCTGTCTCTGTCTCTGTCTCTGTCTCTGCCTCTCTCTTTGTCTCTCTCTCTCTCTCTCTTTCTCTCTCTGTCTCTGCGTCTGTCTCTGTCTCTGTCTTTGGCTCTCCCTCCCTTTAGAGAGAGAGAGAGTGAGAAAGAGAGAGAGAGAGAGAGAGAGAGAGAGAGAAAGTGAAAGCGAAATTGCGAGAGAGCGTGAGAGCGAGGGAGCGAGGGAGGGAGCGGCAGGGAGCGGCAGGGAGCCGGAGGGAGCGGGAAGGAGCGGGAGGGGGCGGGAGGGGGCGAGAGGGAGGGAGGAGGGGCTCGGTCACAAGATGCAGGCCCTTGCGCTCTCAAACCATGGCATCTTTTTTAAGGTTCAACTCTTGGACCCCCAACCTGGTGGTGTGTTTGTCCTGCTGGTTGCCCAAGCAACAACGCAAACGTCAGACCAGCCATTTCGCGGGACCCCGCAAATCCGTCTCCCAGCTTCAGCCCCGAGCCCCGAGCTCCGAGGTCTGCGCCTGGCTTGGCGCTGGGCCTCGTCCCAGCGGCGAAGGCAGGGCTGCGGCTGGTGCTGCTGTCCTGGACCGTGGGCCAGCGGGGGGCCAGCGGCCAGGGTGGGGCGATGCAAAGCAAACTTGCAGAGTCTTGACGGTCTGCATCTATTCTGAGTAATCAGGATTTTTGGCCACACGATCGTTCCCCTCTCCCTCGCCCTCTTGAACTCTTGGATTGCGCAAGCTTGAGAATGTGTCAAAGTGGCCTTGCTCTCCAAATGATATGTTGCAGGCCATCTTTCTCTGTCTTCTCCAAAGTTGTCAAGCCGGCACGGGTTTCTGCTTATGAGGCTCGGCAAACATGGACATCACCAAAGATCTCTCTCCATGACTGCCCGACCGATGCCTCTCACTGTGTTGCTAGTTTCCTTTACGGGTCCAGCTCCTTCTCTCGTCTCCATGCAACTCACATCTTACACGGATACATGGTGAGCCATGGTTTCCTGCATCGAAATCCTTTGAAGACTGCCCCATCGACATGGTCTGCTGCTTCTTTGACACCTCTCTGCAAGGAAAGTCGCCGATGCCTAGATCTTCCAGGGTCTCGGTAAACCTTCCCAGACCTCCGGTGATGGAAAAAGCATGGGCACCCCTGTGAAAATCTTGCCCCTAAACCAAAAAGTCAGTCAGGGCAATGGGCTTGTTCTCAAAATAAGACCTTCAAGATACTTTTTGTGTCTTTTCTGCTGTCTCTGTAAACCCATCCCAAAAAGTGACCCTCAAACCAAGACACACCCTAGCCCACCCAACCGCCCCCCCCAAATCCCGGTCGGTCGGTCGGTCGGTCGCCAACGCCAAAATCGGTCCCGCGAGAGCCGCCGCGGCGACAGGGGCGAGCTCTTGGGAGTGGCGTGGGGCGGTGAGAGCAGCACTCGCTCTTGAGCAGGCTCCTGTCGCTCCGATTATCTCCTACAAATTAACATTGAACCCAACAAGGAGCCCCCTCCCCAAAAAGAGTTGCCTCTACGAATGACAAATGGTGACCGGTGGCTTTCTGTGTTCCATGTTAATTTGTAGTAGGGGAGTAGCCACGATAGAAATACTGTAAAAAAGGGGTTCAGGTGTCTGGACGAGTTTCTTACCGGCCAAAAATAGTGAGCTTGGATTAGCCCAAACGCTCCTGGTGCGAAAGCTGGCGCGTTTGGGCGTTCGCGTGTTTCAAGGTCAAGAGCTTGGCTGCCTGGAACATCTGGACAATTGATCAGAGCTTCGGGAGTTGTTTGGATCACGCTAAGACAACTGATGTCTCGATGCCTATAAACTACTCATCAGGGAATTCGGAATTCAGACACAAAAATACGTCTAATCTGTCTGGCTCTCCTCCTCTCACTAACAACGTATGGGATGAAACAATGAGCACGTTGTGTTCGGGCACCCTGGTGTGAGGCGGTTGATTCGCCTGAAACCTCTTCTGGACAAACCTTAGCTTGTACACCTGCGCACGCTGACATCTCATGCATCTTACAAACCTGAAACAAGTAAGTTGAAATCGCCTTTACGCACTTCGGCAAATGCCACAAAGGAACCATTGAAAGATCCTGATGGCACGAGCATCCTGATGCTTCTGCTTGCGAGACACGGAGGACTCCCGACTCGCAGGAGTCGAGCCAACCAGCGTCAACATGATTAACTTGGAACCTATGGGTGTGTTGTTTCTGAGGGTACCCCCTTTATGTGGCTTTCAAGAGAAATCAAAAGGACAACCAACATTTTGGAATGTCCCCCCAAAAAAAGACACACCTAGTACCAGCCTCGCACAGTTGTTGGGCGTTCCAAATGTCGCGGGGGAGGGGGGGGGACGAACTCCGCATCCAGCAGCATGCGATGGTGCCATGCTTGTAGCAAACACGCCACAGCTCCAAAAATTGACCACACTCACCTTTTGAGACTGCAAGGCTTCCCAACCGTGTGACCCTTGAGTGGATGATTCACCTTGGCTATCTGCTTCCGAGCCCCAAACGCGGCCCCAGTTTCATGGATCGGCCTTGCGGCGGCAGCTGAAGAGGAATCCGAAAAGGGTGTGGTTGTTTTTCAGGGATTCCCTAACAAACGACGCCCGTTTCGAGACCCCCCATGGTCGCAGGTGAGCCAACTGTGGGTTCTAGGCTCAAAGTTCAAGCACTTTCGCCGTGTCGCGGCTCCTCCACTTTCTCCTCTTCTTCCCGCTTCTGCTTCAGCTGCCTTGGAAAAGCCGCGGCTGCACAAATGTCCAAGTGGCTTGGGGGTTGGGTCGGGTTGAGGGTTGGGTTGGCTGGTTGGTTTGCTTGGGTTGCTTTGGGAAACGTGGGTTCAAACGGACATACAACACTTGGTGGCACCTTTCCGCATCAACCTCCAGCCTGCTGCAACCGTTGCGGACCCAACTTTGGGTGTAAGTCCAGAGTCGAAAGGGTGAGACCCTGCGCTGAGACTGGATTGTTCTCCCTCCGATATTTTTAAAGTGCGGTTGCCACTGCATTAGGCTCTGAACATGTCGTTGACAAACAGGAAACGCGTGTGAGTGCGACCTGCGGGCCCCATAACATGATTGGCTTCTAGTTTAACGATGGCACGCTTGTCTTTTTCAGGTCTTGTGTTTGGAACATCCCACATGTCAGACTTCGTGCTCCTCTGACATCCTCTGCGTCTCAATTCAATGCATCCCCGCACTTTCCCAAGACATAGGGAGGCTGACATAACTTCAATATCACAATTGGTTGCCCCCATAGTTCATACCTCCTTCACCAACCCACCCCCCAGGATTCCGGCAGCAGCTGCTGCAGCAGCTGCTGTTGCTCCATGGAGTCCTCAAGAAATCCGTGGGCTGCTCATGGGGTTCATGCGCTCCAAACAGATTCGCCTTCCTGCAAGGCAACAAGCACCCTCACAAATGACATGAACCGCAAAAACAGAAACGCACTTCTTTGGGGGGAAGAACGGAACTCACGGTGTGCGTGGAAGAACGCCCCAGCTACAGTAGCTTGGTGGCAATGGCTGCTGAACCAGAGTCCAAAAATTAAGTGCGATCAGACTGATAGGATTCAACGAATTGCGTGTGGACATCTTCACATTCCTGCATCTGCATGTATATACATGGATGCATTCACACATCCGTCTATGTGTACGTCATATGCACACCTACATCATTTGGATTTGAACAAACACACAGTTGCACAATTATTCCACTTTCATAGACACACCTACACACATACACGCACACATTCACAATGTACGTGCTTGTATATGTACATATATCATATACACACCTACATCATGCACATCTTCGCACACTCATACGTATACTTACACGTGTTCATGTGCAGATCTAGACCCACACGTACACAACTATACATCTATCTATCAACATGACATGCATGTACACAAATATACCTTTGTCTGTGCGTTTGCAGGCACTCTCAAAATGCAGATATCTAGATCTGTGCGCAGCCTCTCAGAGAATTGCCCGTTGTGCAGAGCATGAGGCCTTGTCAAAACCGAGGCGCGCTGTCCGTCATGGTTTTCCACTTGTGTGCCTCGCACCGCCAGCTGGAGTTGCGCGGAGTAGGAGCACAGGTTCCCAGATTGGTGCTGGACGAGGTCGCAGGGTCCAACATGCAGCGTCGAGAGCGAACAATGTGTATATATATATATATATATATATACACATATGTATGTATGTCTATATGCATGCATATTATATATAGAGATTACCCCAGAATTTCACTTCTCACGCGCCAGCCATTGCCACTCCGCCATGGAAAGATTCACAAGGCTTAAGAATGGTGTTTGTCAACTTCATAAAACCGAGGCTCGTCAAGAGTAGAGGCAGACACAAAGCTTCTGCTTGCTGCTTTACAGGTTGTCTCCGACCAAAGGGTTGGTTCCATCCCTGGGGGAACCACTCCCAGCAACCCGCTGCTCGGTGCCGCGCCTTCCGTTCTGACTTCGGGGATGCCCTGGGAGATGGGTCGGCCCTGAGCTCGAGCGAGCGAGGGGCGGCATCTCCCACCAGAAAGCTGCGAGTGCTCCATCTCAGTTTGGCGAAAATAGCCCCCCACCACCCCACTCCGCAGGAAGGTTCTGAAAATCCTTCTTGGGCATTGTTAGAATCTTGCTGGGGGCTTGCAAGATTTAAGTGGGCTGACATCTCTGTGGCATTTTGGACATTTCACCACCCACAATCTGCAGCAAAGTAACCCTCATGCTAAGTCTTCAGCAGGCGTGCCCCGGGTAGGGAGAGGCTCACTAAGCGCCTATTGTTTGTGAAAGGTATGTGCACTCTACCCATTCACACATCGGGAATTGCCTGTGAATCGCGAAGTCGGATCATCTGACGGCTGCAAACCTCCATCCACTTGTCGTATTCCTTTCAACGGAGCTTTGATCGGAAAGATCGTGTCCATCCGCATGAATTCAAACGAGAGCTCTGGCATCCACCTGAACACTACCCCCAAATCGCGGTTTCCTTCTGGGAGCTCTGAACTTAGTGCCCTGAAATCGTTGGTGAACCCATCCGAATCTCATTTTGAGAAACTCCCATCTGGGGTGGAAAGATTATGCTTCAAATAGACTCGTCTCAAAGATGATCTGCGCGCCTTGAAACACTCGCTGAGAAATGACTTTATCCGCCTCAAGGGCTGGACGTGCCTGGTTCCAATTCCTTCCTCCTCACTTCCATTTTGTACTTGGTTTCCTTTTTGCACTGTGGGGCTAAGTAAGACCTCTGCGAGCGATGCTCGAATTCATCTCCAGATGGGAGGCTTCGGTTTCGGCCAGCCCGGCTGATGACTTTGACCAATCCTGGGCCAAGTTTGCTGAACCTCGATTAACAGCCAGCAATGCTCGCTAACAGCAGGTTACATACCGTTGAAATAGCAAGTTAGCCGTCAAGCTCCGATAAATAAAAGTCGGAACAGTGCCCTCTTCCCCACTCGGCTCGGTTTCGTATCAAAAGACCGCCGCTGTCGCAGCCCTCCCCACTTCCTGCCCGGGCGCGGCCGACGCTGCGGCGCCCGGTCCTGCAAATCCGAACTCACACGCCACATGGCCCAAGCCTGTGGTGACGCTGGGAGCTTGGCATTGCCGGTGATATGAAGCATCGCTGGGAAACAGTCAGACATAGCCCAGCCTTTTTTCCTGAAAACCGGCAAGCAGCTTCAACCTGTTGATAGCGCACTCGAGCGCATGCATTTCATGTCGCCGCATGTTCAAGGCGACAGTATGCGAATATGAGAGGGGGTGTCCGCAAATGTTGTGGATTGTCTTGAAAGGGAGACTCATATGCTAATGAAACCTTTGCTTGCAAGAATGATCGAGGCTTCTTCAGCTGGAAGCTAGCATGCGGTGCAGAAAGCACCCAAACAGTTCAACTGTGCTGCAAACATCTCAACATTCAACAGTGTGAGCCAGGGACAACATCCTTTCTCAAAGGCGACACGGTCCGGGCCGTTGGTTTGATAATTGTCCCCGCTTGCCCGCTCCGGCTGGGAGTCGAGAGTCTCGAAGGCAGCCTCGAGTAGGGGTTGAAACGGACCCCACACTCGCCCGCACCACCCACCCAACAAGGAGAATTACTGGGCTGGGCGGTACAAATGGCAAGCTGTGCTTTGGCTGATGCATGTGCTTTTGGCATCCAAAAGGAATGACATGTGACATGCATGTGGGTTCATCCCGGAGCTCCTTCCGGTGTTGCGGCTTTCCTGCCCTGCAAAAAGTTTTGAGGTGCCCTCCAGTGCTGACCGGAAATCTGCCCCAAAACAAGCAGGGAAACACAAAGCCGGGCCAACCAACCGAGGATGACGGAAGTAAATCTGACCCAACCGGGCCGGCCTTCTCCAGCGCCCAAAGCTTTAGGTGGCTCACAGATGGCCCGCCAGGCCCGCCCATCGGAACGCGCGGAACCCGGGGTTGGAAATGGCTGGGGGACGCGTACCATGGGAGCGATCCGATTGAAGTTGCGACCCTTGTGCGGTTCCAGCTCAAGTTGCATATCTTCATAGAAACACACCGCACCAATTGGGGGGCTTCCCAGAAAATCGCGCCGGGTCTTGCTTGCTCGCTTGCTTTATCGGAGCGGGCTGGCCACAGCTACGATTTGGCTTCTTGGTACCCTGCTGCTCTCTGCGGGAGCCATGGGGTTGCTGCAATGCCATGCCTCTGTGCTCTCCGGGATTGGCGAAAGGCGCGAGACCATGCTGGTACAAGAGAACAGGCCCCACACACTCACGGAGACACACACACACACACAAAAAAAAAAAAACACACAGAGACACGGAGACACAAACACAAAACCACACAGAGACACACACACACACACACAGACACGCACGCGCCACCCGCGACTCGCCTCCCTGTTTCGAAGTGCATATGAAACAGGAGCATCACTTCGGTTAGAAAGAGTTGATACTTGCTACTTGTATCTGAGGCGGTTTGCACCTCCCCCGAACCACTACCCTCTTAGGGGGTTCTATGGGAGAAGCAGCTACAGAGTGGAGGCTTTTTTTAAAGGGAAACAAAACAAACAACCAAGAGTTTGGGGAGCGGCGGGGGGCGCGGTGCCCCTGTTTTGAATCAAACGCAAATGTGCTGTTGCAAACATTCCCAAACGATCGTTGGCTTCGCACAGCTTCGCAAAGATTGTTCAGTTTTTGCAGTGCACCTGCAGTCTGCCGGCCACATCCGTGTTGGTCTTCGCTGCGGGTGGAGCGCACAAGAGCGCTCCGCCTTTTTCCACGGCCTCTAAGCAGAATCGAACCACCTCAAACTGTCTACGAAACAGATCTCTCCGGAGCCCGCCCGCCTTAACCTTGCCATGCGAATCCATTCACCCTAACGTCGCAAAGGCCGCGACAAAGAAACCTGTTCGTGATTCTGAGGTTCCAAAAGAGGTCACGGCTTTCCCGGCTCTCAACACTCCAAGCAGGCTCCGTCTTCCCTTGCATGTCACCCGGTGCACCCTCATTAGGCTCACCTGAAGGTGGAGAGGTGGGTTGGTTCAACAACCAGCCATAAGCGACAAGCATAAACAACAAGAAGAAAGCAAGACTACGGCATTGGTCTATATCATTGTTTCAGCCGCTGCTAGCGGCATATTCAACCGGAATGCTGATCCAACAAGGGTGGCAATGCCAGCCAAGGCTGGCCCCGTGAAATCTAGCTACTGACAGCAGAATGACAAGGCGAAGCCCTTGTCATGAACAGAAGGGAAGAGTCGTTAGGGGTGAAGACTGGACCCCAAACTGTTGAGATCCCATCATGATTCTGCATTCGCTCCTGGCCCCCTTTGTAGCTTGAGCCTTCAAGCTACGCATTGCACGAAGCTGCTCCCAGATTTTGGCCCGCCTATGCCTTGTGAGGTGTCCAAAGCCACACTGTGCGAAACGGCCGAAAACTTGGGGGTCCTCTCCGGCGACCTGGGTAGGAGTCCATCAACATCCCGCGCTACAAACCTTGCAAGCGTTCGGGTCAACTCGGGCAAAGCGCCGATCACACCCCCCAAAAAGAGGTACCGTATTTGCCTTCCAAATTTGCCCGAGATTGCGGGTGCTTGAATTGGGTGGGTAATGAATCAACATGTCCCTTGTGCGGGCCTTGAGAGGAATTCTCCTGGGCTCGGGTTAACTTTTACAGGCTCGAAGCAATGGCGTATCCAACGTCCAGGTAGTAGTTGGTGCTTGAAACCCTTCCATTTCATTTGCTTGAGCCCCCCCCCCAAAAAAAAGAACTATATATATATATATTTCCAGCAGTGATAGATTCCCTTTAAAATCGGCAAATTGGAAGAAACCCTCTCAAGAACAAAGAAGCAACTGGGGCCCAAGCGAGGGGAACCTCAGCCGCTAAACCCTCAGCCGAGTGCCCAGACCCTCCCATCCCGCTCCGAACCTGGCCTCCGAAAATCCGCTCCTTGATTCCTCAGGGGATGAGCTGACACCAAAAAGCGAAACCCGCGAGTCCCATTTCTTTGGGCTCTGCTTGAAGACTTCCGTCGCCTTCCAAGCTCAGGGCTTGGACCACACTCGACGCATATATCCTTACTAGTGATTGTGCACGACTCGAACAAGACAAGACTTTGCCCATGGCAGTGATACCAGCTCACTTCTCCGCCCAGACATTTCAGAGCGCAATTCCCGAGAAATCACTCAGGGAACTCTGCCAACGTCCATCTTCTTTAGCAACAGTCCATGAAACCAAATCAAACCACCCTCTTCACACAAGCAACAGCCAGAAACACACACCAAAAAAAAAAAAAACGGACACACGCCACGCGCGCATTTCCAAAAGACGAAAAAAGGCTCGGGTCCTCGCCTTCAGAAGGCCTGCACGAAGGCCTTGAGCCGTGCGTCCCGCAGCTTCAAGGCGGCCGCCTCCAGCTGAGCGTTCACCTCTGCGGAAATCTTTGGGCAAAAGGCGGGGTGGTGGGCGGGGTTGCGAACATTGGAATGGGACTTCCATCATGGGCGTTCCAAACTGGCTTCCCTTCCAGCCAGGGCTGCGGGAAATGACCATCTGTGATACAAGCGAATCTCCCCCCCTTGTATGGGGGAAAATGTCTTTGGGAAGCCCTTTTTGTCGCACAGAAGTGGTCATTCCCCACAGCCCTGGCTGAAAGGGAAGCCAAAGCGAAAGCCCAGCATTGTGGAAGTCACATTCCCATTTTCACAAGTCCAACAACCTGAAATACGCTGCCTGACTGCAGTTTGGAAATGCGGATCACGACCCCAAACCACAAGTTGGTTGTGGTTCATCCAAATGGTCGTCGTCTCGTAGTTGCGGCAGGGTCCTGTTGCCCAATGGGAAGGAGCCCCGCAACCTAGCCAACCCAAATCACCAAAGGCGAAACTGTCAAAAACCTAAGAGCCAAGCAAAAATAATACGAATGACGCTTCTCCTTTTGCTTTCCCTTTAAACTGGTAACTGGTACCCCTACGACAATGTGCAAGGTTTCCGTGCAAGCTCTCAACTCATCACCATTTGGCTGTGGGTCAAAAATGGGTGCCCAAAATGGAACCCTGGTAAATGGAACCAAGGACTAAAACCTGTGGTCCCCTGGTGGTTCAACTTTGACCCACACCCATTTCGAATGGTGAAAACAACTGGTGTGCAACGCCTGCTTCCACTCCTGTCCATAAAAAGGCGGCGTTTCCCTCCAAAAGCGGTCCGAATCCCTACTAAAAGGGGACACCCCCGCGCGCAAAGTCAATCCGGGACTTGTGAACAGTTTTTGTCATTATGGGTGAATGCCAAAACTTCAAAGTTGCCACTTAGATCTGGGGGGGTCCGTCAGACACATCTGCCTTGTCCACATAGGAGTTCGCCGTGCTATCGGAGGTGGCCGCGATCGGCTTTGGGCCCATGGAGTCGGGGAGGGCATAGCCCACCTACGCTGAGAGGGGGCTGAAAAATGGACCCGGCGAGCCCTTGTCATGTTCTCCGGTGGCATAACTGTGGAAGTTCAAGAGTGCGCAAAACCCTGTTGCTTGCAGAAAAATGCTGTGAGTGGAAACAACACATAGTTTCCAGGTGATCAGCGAGCGGCGTTTGAATGCGCGTCATTTGCTGTTCAGCGCGGTGTAACAAGGACAACAGGATGGATAGCAGGCTAGGCGATGGCATGGCATGGCGCTGTTGTGAGGAAGTGAAACTACATCTGACCCTGCAACACAAATAGGCCTTTGAGGTCATTTGAGGTATCCCTTTTTTGGTTGTTTGAGAAGACAACTAAAATGAATATCACCATTTAGAGGGTCTCCTAAAAAAGGGCACACCCAATAGCAGTTGACTTGAGGGCTCGCTGGTCTTGCACTCCCGACTCTTGTTTGTTTAAAGGTAGGGCAGCCACGTTGAGCGGGCCTTTGGCCAATTGGGTCCTGCTTGAAGCAAGGAACAGCGGAAGGCAAGAACCGCAAAGAAGGAAACATCTGGAAAGACACATTAGCAACTGATTCGAAGACTCGAACACCTTTGAAATCCCTATCAAGTCGCAGTTTTCACCACGCATCAGTTTCAAAAGACATGGTGAAACGGTTGTGCGCCTTTAAACACATTGAATTTACCCATGAGCTTTACACGAGTCACGCCTCTGTCCCAATGGGTTGCTTCGAAACAAGAGGCCAAAAGTCTAATGGTGCCACAAGTTGAACAGGACCACCACTCGTAGGAATGTACTTGCCAGTATGCACGCTGCCAGACGTAACTCCAAAGCTTGTATGTAGCATGTCAAACCAAGGTTGAAATCCTGAGCTTGACGAGCAGCAAGAGCTGCAAGAGAGGAAGCCCACCCCGACTGGCATGATCACATCAAAAGCTGTGACGGTAACGCCACTGCAAGTCCTGTCACGTAGCTCAGTTCTGCCACCGTGCTTGGCATGGAAGGGAGCAAGGATCTCAATGGAAGCTTCCCAGTCAAAGTCCTTCGCAACAAAGAGCTCCACGTTCAAACTTCCTGCCAAGCGTTCCACAACCGACTCCACTGGCCAGACGGTCTGTATCAAGGTATGAGCATCAGCCACACTATCCACCAAGTCATACTCCTCAGGTATGCGCAAATGCCTGCGGATTGTGCGGCAGCGTAGGTCACAGCCCGAAATCTTCACTTCGTCATCAATTGTGCCCTCGCCTGGAGCTAGATACACGCCCCATTTTCGGATCACTTGAGAGGCACTCACAAACATAAGCTTGAAAGGAGAGGTCAGCCATTCGCTGCTTTTGTGCAGACGCGAATAAGCTGAACTCTCCTTTGAACTTTGGAGCTTCTCCACTGTTTGTTGAATTCGGAGCAATCGATTTGGTAAGCTGGTCAGCAAGATCTCAGTGATGACGTACTCTGATCCAAGAGCAACATTCCAAAACTTGGCATCCCCTCTCTTCACTTCCACAAGCTGACCTGTGCCTCTTTCCACAGCCGACAGGGCCATCACTGAGTCGATAAACCAGCCTTGAGCAAACCAGCCATGTCCGCAAGTGCGCACAGCCGCTCCCACTGAAAGCTGGTCGAACTGCGGCCTGTCGACGGCTGCCTTATTCTCGGACCAGAGAATTTGCACCAGCTCCCCAAAGACAGTGCCAGAGCGAACGCGCAAAAGATCTGATTCCCATGCCACAAGCCCTGACCACTGGCCTCGCAGTGCTATGGCAGATGGCTGAGGCAATGTCCTGGAAATGAAGAAGCCCCAACCTTCTCCAACTGCAACTGGAGCGGGTGAGGCTGCAAGCAACTTCTGTATTTCTTCTAAGCTGCTTGGTGTTGCAATCGGCCACACTCCCATGCGCAGTCTTAGTCGCAAAGTTGGTGAGCAGGCTACAGCAAGCAGCAAGATCCCAAGCAAAAGCAGACAGCCGCCGACAGTGCCCGAGACAGGCGTTACACCGAGGTGTAAGAAAAGGCCCACGGAAGAAATGACAAGGCAAGCACCTAAAAAGAAAGAGACAGGTGCCGTAAAGCAGGGGTCATATCTTGATGCGGGTGGCTGTCCAGCAGCTTCATCTGGCTGCATGATTGGCTGCGGCCTCAATCGGACCCCAAAGACTTCTCTGAGCCGAAAGTGTCGGGACTGACGAACTCAGAACTGCCGACAGCTATCTGAGAAAAAAGAAAGGGAAGAAAAAAGCGTAGGGGGTGATACCCCTTGCTGTACCCCGTTCTTCGGATGCACTTTGCACGGTGCTTTTCTTGTCTTTTTTGCCCATGCGCCTTGGCGTTGATGCTGCTGTACAGCGCCTCCAGCCTCTGCAAGGCCTCCGCAGGCAGCTTGGAGAAGTCGTAGTCCTGCCGTGGCAAAACATCGGGTTTTTGAGGCTCGGGGGGCCGATGTTGGCTTTCAAGGGAAAAGGAACCCGTGGCCATGGTGGGTCCAATTCCTATTTTGAGACAAACCCATTTGCGTAAGCCGAGAACGCCACCAGGCCCATATCAAGAAGACACGCCTTGTGCGCGTGGCAGATGAGGCTTCATGCAGCAAACCAGCTCTGGTTGCCATGCAACACGCAATCTTCTGCCCTTTGGGGCTCGGGGCTCCCATTCCATTGCCGCCAACCCCTAGAGCCGGCCCCTAGAGTGAACCCGTCCGTCGCGTAGCGTCGCGCGTCGCGTCGCGTCGTGTCTCGCGTCTCCTGGCCGCTCTTGGCCTTGCTGGCGAGGGAGCGGACCTCCTCCGCCTCCTTGGCCGTGACCATGAAGGTCTCCTCAAGAACAAACCCACGGCCTCGTTGTTGGGCCCACGCGCAGAACGCATGGCCCATGACCCGAACATGGGCTTCCCGCACCAAATCTGCAAGGACGGATGTGGAAAAAGGAAAAGGGGTGCAGAGTGGTACAGGAAGGCCACTCAAGCTCGATCACAACTTGAGCTGGAAAAAAAAAAACGTATTAAAACTCTTATCCCAGGATGTTTTCATTGCAAATCCAAGCGGCGGTCTTCATAAGAGTGAGGTCCCCCAAAAACATGCCCCTTAAGTGTATGAGGTCTCAGGTGTGTACACCGCTGCAAATTGTTGCTGGCTGCTGCTGCTGGCTGCTGCTGCTGCTGCTGCTGCTGCTGCTGGCTGCTGCTGCTGCTGCTGCTGCTGCTGCTGCTGCTGCTGCTGCTGCTGGCTGCTGCTGGCTGCTGCTGCTGCTGCTGCTGCTGCTGCTGCTGGCTGCTGCTGCTGCTGCTGCTGCTGGCTGCTGCTGCTGCTGCTGCTGCTGCTGCTGCTGCTGGCTGCTGCTGCTGCTGCTGGCTGCTGCTGGCTGCTGCTGCTGCTGCTGCTGCTGCTGCTGCTGGCTGCTGCTGCTGCTGCTGCTGCTGCTGCTGCTGCTGCTGCTGCTGCTGCTGCTGCTGCTGCTGCTGCTGCTGCTGCTGCTGCTGCTGCTGCTGGCTGCTGCTGCTGCTGCTGCTGCTGCTGCTGCTGCTGCTGCTGCTGCTGCTGCTGCTGCTGCTGCTGCTGCAACTCATTGCTGGGATCTGCAGAAACAAAGAAAATGCAAACTGCAGAAATGGGCCACTCCTGATCCAAGGCATCTACGACTTGCGCGCGACTTGCGCGCGACTTGCGCGACTTGCGCGAAAATTTAGCAATCTTCCGGATTCTTTCGACCATGCGGATGATGATGATGATGATGATGATGATGATGATGATGATGATGATGATGATGATGATGATGATGATGATGATGAATCATCACTGCGTCACTTGCGCTTCACTTGCGCTTTACTTGCGCGGCCCCATGTTTGACTTGCGCGGCCGCTCCTGCAACACACTCCTGCCATTCAAATTACAAGCGGCGGTGCAGCTAATTTGATAGGTCCAAAAGACCTGGGATCATGCCTTACATTCACACATACAACGGTTTTTTTTTTTTTTTTTTTTTTTTTTTCGACTCACTTGGGGTTTGTTGGTTCTGGTGGCAGCCGGCCTATAGGTGCCTTTGGGTGCCGAGCAATATGCTGCACCCTCCAACCTCTGCCATTTTGCAAGTAGATTCGCTGTGAACCCACTAACACCCCCATTCAATCCAACGCTTTGTATGATCCGAGCAAAGTCGGCCGCAAATCGGAACCCAGGTAGCCCGCCTGGAACTCCTTCTCCTTGCTCTGCTGAGCAAAGGCCACCCGCTCCGCAAGCCTGGAGGAAGGGCCAAGGAGCACAAGGGCGTGTTGAGAGAGACATAAATTTCAGGTGTGAAGCCGGCGAACGGGTCTTTGCATCTGCTTGCCTTGTCGAAAGTAAGCTCGGCCAGAATGTACCTAATTAATCCTGGGTGCGTGCAGTGGCCTATGGCTCTATGATAGCGCGGGCTCATGCCTCTGTCACATTGATTTTACTGGACCTGGGCCATTGCCCTATCCCGCTGCTGCTCAACGGTATCACGGGTTAACAAGAGGGCGGCGCTTTTGCACTCCAAACCCAGACGTGGCAGCCTGCGGCAAACCAAGTCTCATCCGGTGTAAAAATCTGGTTGGGCGAGCGCCAACCCCCTCCAAAATTTAAAAACTTATGGTCCGAAGCCAGGCCTCCAGGCCCCTTGCGGCCAAGGCGCGAGCCCTTGGCGTCGGCCTTGCTGGTGGTGAGGTCCACCCCTTGCAGCGACCCGAAGGCCGCCATGAAGTGCGCCGCCACCGGGTCCTCGCCCCAAGACGCAAGGGCTTGAAGACGGCCGAGAGGAGAAAAACAAATGACCATTCAAGCAACAGTGGTTCCGAAATGGACGCCTGGTCAATACAAAATAGCTAATCCAAGCAAAGATGCACTGCAAAGGCTGTGGGAGTATTAACAGGGAAGCCTTCAAGCTGGTTGCAAGGAAACATTCCGCTCTTCACCCAACAAGCTTCAAGGTCCCCCCTCCCCTCCCCTCCCCTCCCCCCCCCTCTCCCCAAGCGCCCCCCAAGCGCCTCCCCCCCCCTCCTCGGCGGCCTCCACCGTGGCGCCGCTCAGCGCCTTCACCGCGGCCGCGAAGGCCTCGCGAGCTTTGCAGCAATTACACCGCGTGACAATTAGTTCAGTTGCCCACTCGTGAAATGCCTTCGGCAGCGCAGTCCAGGCTGGATGCGCACTAAAATAGCTTGCCTTCTTGGAGGTCCCGAAGCCCCACACAGATGGAGACTCCCTCGAAATGGAGACGGACTCCTAATGTTTAACACCACACAAGGGAGCCCTGACTTTTTCGACAGAAATTGGAAATTGCGCTAGCTGTGTGTTCATTTGTGTTCATTGCAGGTAGCCTCTGATCACGTTGAACAAACCTGTCTCAGCTTTGAAAGTGTCCAATCTTTTGGAGGCCATGTGGAAATGCGATGGGATATGGTGCACAAGAACGGGCCTGTGCAGTCACTGTCCTGATTTGCTTTTGGCAGACAAGTGCCCGAAACATTTTCTTGGGGGTGACCCCCGTGATTGAATCCTCACTTGTACCATGAGGCCTCCGCAGAGGAACTGATGACCCCGCCCCCCCCGCTGCTTTTTTATTTTTTTTGGCCCTAATTGAATCATCACTTTTTCAATCATCCTGGGGGGGCTGCCGCCCCCCCCAACCCCCCCGCTACTTTTTGGACTTTTTGCCCCTATTTATTGAATCATCACTTTTTCGATCATCATGCGACCGCTACTTTTTAGATTCTTTGCCCCTAATTGTTCGATCATCATGGCGGGGCTGCCGCCCCCCCCAACCCCCCGGCTATTTTTTAGACTTTTTGCCCCTGATTGAATCATCACTTTTTCGATCATCATGCGACCGCTACTTTTTAGATTCTTTGCCCCTAATTGTTCGATCATCGTGGGGGGGCCTGCCGCCCCCCCCAACCCCCCCACTATTTTTAAGACTTTTTGCCCCTGATTGAATCATCACTTTTTCGATCTGCAGGGATTAGTTTGCCCGTATTTGAACCCTCACTTGTACCATGAGGCCTTGGCGCAGAGGCACTGATGCCCCCCCCCCGCTGCTTTTTTATTTTTTTTGGCCCTAATTGAATCATCACTTTTTCAATCATCGTGGGGGGGCTGCCGCCCCCCCCCAACCCCCCCGCTACTTTTTGGACTTTTTGCCCCTATTTATTGAATCATCACTTTTTCGATCATCATGCGACCGCTACTTTTTAGATTCTTTGCCCCTAATTGTTCGATCATCATGGGGGGGGCTGCCGCCCCCCCAACCCCCCCGCTATTTTTTAGACTTTTGCCCCTGATTGAATCATCACTTTTTAGATCATCATGGGGGGGGCTGCCGCCCGCCCCAACCCCCCCGCGCCTTTAATTGAATCATCACTTTTTCAATCATCATGGGGGGGGCTGCCGCCCCCCCCCAACCCCCCCGTTGTTTTTGGACTTTTTAGATTCTTTGCCCCTAATTTTTCGATCATCATTGCAGGGCTGCCGCCCCCCCCCCAACCCCCCTGCGCCTTTAATTGAATCCTCACTTTTACCATGAGATGCGGGAAGCCAATTTGCTGGTGATGCTGGCTATGTTGGCTGGACATGCGGGGGATGTTGAAAACGATGCTGATGATGTTGACTGACGCGTAAAATACGTACATTTCGCGAGAAAATGCTGTAAATTACAGCATTTTAGTAGCCAGGACGGAAAACAAAAAACAAATCCCAAAATAAAACCCAAAAAAAAAAAAACTCGACGCGAGGATCCCTTCACAATTTGGGAGGGAATTCCCAATTCCATGTCAAATGCTACAGGCCAAGAATCAGATGCTTGAATCTGCTCGCCCCTTGGCGAACCTGAACAGTTTCTAGTGATGTATCTAGTGCAAGACTGGTTACGGCAAGAATCATTGCATCCTTGAAGAGAAGTTTGATGACCGAGGCATGCTTGTGCCGTTTGGGCTCTTGCGAATGATCCGAAACCGTCCCAGCTGGGCGTTGAGAGCTCATCGGCGTCTCTTATGATTCATTCGCGTGTGCAAAGCAAGTGGAGTGTGGCATTGTCTCTTTCTTGGGCCAAAAGCACTGAAAGGCAGGTGCGATGAACAAGAATCGACGAAACCGGAAAAATTGGTTCAGAATGCAACGGCCTTCTGCGGGCTTTGAGACCGAAGGGCCAATTACTCCCAAGCTGGAAACCTGCAAGGACCTTTTCGGGACGTGAGCTCACGGATGCAGGCCTTGTCCTGCATGCCCTTGTCGGTAGGGAACTTCTCCTTGAAAGATGAGGCGGCCTGCGGCGTGGGAAACACGACTGGCCGATTTTCTCACGCATGCTCCCTTTCTTTGAGCCTGGCAAAGCTGTAATGATCTCTGTTTTTGTGAGGTTGCTCTCTCTGAGAACTTGAACCCGAGAAAACTGGAAGGAATCATCGTGACTCCGGTCTTGTTGGTCGTATGCGTGGCAACATTGCAAACCATACGGCTGACTTTGCTTGAGTTCCTGACTGCTTGCAGCTACATGTCTGCATGATCTGCTCTTGACAGGATGAAACTTGCTCAACCCAAGCAGCTGTCTGCAATTAGCGGGTTCCACTGAAACTATGTACCACTTTGGGCATCCTTCGAATGGAAAGCCCTGCGTGTCTTTCGGGTTTCCCACAAAAGCTTGGACGTCGACTTTCGCATCCCAGCCTCCCGCACCACGAGGTCTTGCATGGCGGAGCCCATGCCCGCCTAGCTGAGATATTCGAACCAACATGTGGCCTTGCTCTGCTTTTGCCCCTCGGGGTGGTTTGATGTTTGTTTGGCAGGTGGCCGCGATAGGTGGATGTGTTAGGTGGATGAAGCACCGGCATATATGGGGCACATTGCAGGGAACTGTCTGTCATAGCCAAAAGGCCGCTTGACAACGAGCCCAAGATCACTTTCAGCCCCGGGTGTGAGATGAAAGGCTCATCGTGCTGCATGGCTAAGTCCAAGATCTTACTTTGTGCTACTAGTAGAAGGTACCGGGTATTTACCCACCCGCATGTCCGAGTGGCTTCCACCCCTGCACACTCGCTCGCTCACGCGCATCACGTCAGAGCTGCACGCACGCTGGCACCGTGGATGTTTCTGGGGTTGTGGGACATCCCGGCAACTAACTCACGCTAGCTGGATCTCAGGTCGACGTGTGCAGTTTTGGATCAAGTCAGCACACATGGCACTTAGAAGATGTGCTTATCATGCGCCGGCGTGCGTGCAGCTCTGACGTGATGCACCCGAGCGGGTGTGCTTATCATGTGCCAGCGCGCGCGCTCTGACGTGGCGCGAGTGAGCGGGTGTGCTTATCATGCGTCAACGAGTGTGCAGCTCTGGGGACATGCGCAAAAACGCGCGGGCGACTATGTACCTGGCGCATAGTAGTAGAAGGGATTCCTGAATGAGTATTCACCGAAACCTCTAAGCGAATTGGAGGTTGGAGGGCTGGTTTGATGGGTTGGGTTGGCTGCGGTTGAGGTGCGGGGACAGTTTCACAGGCCCGATGGGCTATAGATGGTTTTGAGGGGTTGGGGTGGCAACAGGCAAACCTACTCAGGCTTGCAATAAGATGGACAAATGTCATTTCGTCACTCGGTTGCGGACCCACATGAACTGACGATGGAATCCACGCTTCGGCACCCCTCCCACCCCTGAGCGTGGCACCGTGAACCATATCCACTGAAGGGTCCAACTTCTAAAATTGCTACACAATAATGACCCTTCTCAAGAGAAATACCCTGATCAATCAAACAAAGAGCCCCCAGTTTCGAATCTTGAACAAGAAAAAGATCCAGTCACGAAAAGCTCCTCGATTCTTTTGACACCAAGTCCAAATTGATCGAAACAAAGAGCCCAAAAAAAAAATATTCGGGGAAAAAACGCGAAAACATGACCGGATCTTGGTTCTCTAAAACCCTCAACCCATCTCAACCCCCGCCCCGCCCCCCGCCCCGCCCCCCGCCCGCGACCCTTGGCTCGCGCTCCACTTCTGTCCGTCCGCTCGCTCGCCTCAAAGGAGGCGATGGCCTGGAGCTGCTTGCTGGCGCGCTCTGTGAGGTCTTCCTTCATCTTCACCACCAAGGCCTCTCCGATCTCTGATCGGGCTCCGCTCCCAAAAGGGGGGGAAATGGGAAAATGGGGAATCGGTGGGCTGTCTCTCTCCTTTTTGGCGGCTCGGGATGCCAAAACGACCTTTGGAATGAAGGGGCTGGCCGGTGTGTCACCGAAGGTCACAGAGGCTGGAAGAAATGTGGGCTCTGCTTGTCGATCCCTCGGAACCCCGTCCCCACCAAAACGGGGTTCGCATATGAGGTGTCTTAAGGACAACCACCTTTTTGGGACACCCCCGATTTTTTTTGAGACAGACCCATAAGGAAGACAAACAAATCACATCCCAACCAGCAACCAACTCGGCGGTTTTCCGGGCCTTGCGGTAGGCCGAGATCTTCTCCTCGGAATCGTCCTGGGAGTCCGACAATGGGAATCATGCAATAGCAACCAAAAGCGGATTTAGTAGGACATGGGAATGGGTTTCTGTTGGTTCCAATTGAAACCAACCAAAAGGGGGGATTTGGTCTGGATTCTAGGAGTCCGCCGGTAGTACCCCCCAAAGTGATCCGGATCCCCTCAAAATTATCTTGGGGCTTGCTCCTGAGTTCTCTTGGTCTCGAACTTGACCAAAGCCAAGTTGATTCTGGTGTTCAGGAGCAAACCATCATGAAATTAGAGCTTTCCAGGCTGGGGTTCTACTTCAAGAGAGAGAGAGAGAGAGAGAGAGAGAGAGAGAAAGAGTGAGAGTGAGAGTGCCCCACAATATCAGACATTGGAATTAGACTAGGCCGCTGATATTTGTGGACTGCATTCCCATGTGCTCCCAGCAGCCTGGCAAGATCCGTCACTCCTATGAGGCTCTTTCTTCACTTCAGGCTTGCAGAGAAATCTAAAGGAAAACGGCCATCCTTGGGAGGTTCCCCGGCATTCAAGAGACAGTCCCATATGGGCTTGTCTCAAACTAGGGACCCCCAAAATCGCGCTTTTTCCTGTTGGTGTCCATTTCAACCAACCTGAAAGGGGGCACCCTCCAAACAAGACCCCCCCCCCCCTGTATCAGTCCTTGAAGGTCTTCAAGTACTCCACGCACTTGGCATCGTTGGCGAAGCGCCGCATCGACTCCACTATCTTGTCCTCGCCGTCCATGACCTGCCGATGGATGTCACAGGCGCGAAGAACAAGCCTATCTTTGTCCAAATCTAATAAAAGATTCTCCAAAACAAAACACACAAAATGCACAGCGAAGCAACGCCAAAGCGACTTGACTGCCACACGATGGAGGCTGACAAGAGCTCTCACAATGCATTCCAGAGAAGCAAGAAACCAAAAAAAACATCCTTGGGCTGGTTGTGTTAAGACCAAAAAGGCCCAACTGCTGTGGCAGCATGGAAGCACTATGGAGAAAAATAAAAGCAAACAACTGCTGACATCTGAGTCTCTTGCAAGGCAAGGATCAGATGTAAGTTGTTCGCCCAGAGATGGGAAATGATGGCCGACTCACATGAATGTGGGTTCTTTATGGTCTAAGGACGATGAGTGTAGTCTAAAATCCGGCAGGCCGAAGCAGCAATGACTGTCTCCTTGGACACCCCTTCAACTAACAAAAAGATACCTCAAAATCCGACCGTACTAATAGCTCGGCATTCTTCGAAGTGGAATACCGCGACAAAGACAAAAGCCAAATGTCGGCTCAATGTGAGGAACCGCCCTGAGACCTCTTTGAGTGAATCCCACAAAACCCAACAAACCAGTTTGTAGCTTTTGGGAAGCACAAAGCGCGCCCACGTCACGTGGTGGCGGAGGGGCTGTGTTCGAGTTTCCGCCAGCCCCAGTCTGTGTCACTATGTGTCACTCTTGCAGACACAATCAAGCATGCTCAACTGACCTGTACAAGGGAAGTGCAATAGTATGATGTGCAAAAACACAAGTGCGTCTGGGAATCGGGTATTGGCAAGTGTTCTGGCAGATCGCTCGGAGTCTATCAGAGTCAACCGATTCAATGCGATGCTTCGTGGGCATGGCTGAGCGCGGTCTATATGGTTTAGAAAGTACGGTGGATGTGCCACGGTGCTGGCACAGCGGAAGCTGGTCCAACCACCCCCCCCCCCCGCTACCCCCCCTCCAAACGCCCAACTGCATTCACTTAACACCCGAATCCCACGCTGAAGGCGCTGTGACCTTGCTGGGCTTCCCAACGAAAAATTGTGTCTCAGCCTCTCAGCGGAAGAAAAGCAAATGTCGTACATGCACCATCCAATGAACATCCAATTAGTTTCTTCTAAATATATGTGTATGTCTATAGTCGGGTATGTATGATGTATTTATGTGTGATGTGTAATGATGTGTATATATATACATATATACATATGTATATATATATATATGTTGCATGCATGACGCATGAATATACATGTCCCCACTTCACACAGGAAGGAACAAGCCCTGGCCAGCCTCCTGCGCCGTCTTCTGCGCGGCCATGTACTCGTTCCGGCGCGTGGTCTTGGCGATGAAGCGGTTCAGCACGTGCCACATCGTCCAGCACCACCTGAGTTCGGTGACCCTGGAAAAAGGGAACCACAAAAAAAGGGTGCTGGACCAGGGTCACCACCAAAAAATAAGGGAACCCTTTTTGAGGCTTGGACCATTTTTAGTGGGGCCACCAAAAAATAACGCAAAAATGATTGGTGCCACTGAACAACTCAGCCACCTGAGGCCCCACTTGGCTGTGGCTCAAAACCGTTTTGGGATCCCATTTTGGGCTAGGTGAATTCACCACTCATTTTAGGCGAAGGCTCACCGAGTCGGGATCCAAAGATGTTCACATGGCCCAAAACCCAGGGAAATGCGGGAGAGGACAGGCAAACCCTTCCAACTTGCATGCCATGGTTGTCGCTAACCAGCTCGAAGCCGCGCAAAGTCGAGTAACAGTGGGAGCGGATGGAGGGGCTGTCCCGAAACACAAGTCGCTATCCACACCAAGCGACCGGTCAGTGCTTCGGCCGGTGTCAAGACACATCAAGAGCACAAATCTTCACAATTGCGTACTCCATCCTTCCAAGCCCCAAAAGACCGAACCGAAAGACCAAAACCGAAAGACCTCTGCTCAAATCTCTCGCTGACGTCCGGCTTCTGGCTCGAATCGCGAAAGCACGTCTTTGGCCAGGAAGCATCGAAGTACCAAAGACCTTCACACCTCAGATGTCTATGCTTGGTGCTCACGTGCTTGAACATGCTTGAACTATGGGAATCTCTCAACATCGGCAGTCTCCCTCGGATCTCGAGAGCTATCCCAAACCGTAGCCTCACGAGACACACCCAAAACGCGCCAGAGGTCAAAGCTGAGTCAAAGCCTGAAAAGAATCTTCAGTTGGCCGTTGGCCCTTGCGAGGTGCGGGGCTCCATTTGGTGATTTGGAGCCCCAAACACGAGCTTGGTGTTTTGCTCTGAGGTCAGTCACCAGGAACTCATGTGGACATATGTTGAGTGTCTCATGTTCTGATGAAGGTCACTGGCGCGCGTTTTGGAAGTTTGGGATGGCGCGTGCAAACTCAAAAGCGGGAAATTACCAATCCGAAGGACGCCACTCCTTATATGGCCTATGGTCATGGTTCTCTTAGCAGGAATCAGTCTAATGGTCATTCAGGATCCTTACCACCAGGTGGATGACCGTCCAAGCAAACAGTAAGAGGGCCTTTTGACCATGGCACAACTTTGGCAAAACTCAGTATTTGCTGCCGTCTACTGTAGTAAAGGGGATGACAAAGGGCACCTATTTGCTTCCCAAAACACTACTGGGAAATGCGCGTTGCTCAACAATGTCCCATCTCAGTTGGGGGCACGATAAACATTGACCATGCCTCATAGTCTATCAAAGAACTATATTCCAAAAAACACATCTGTTCTTCAACGGAACCTCGTCGCAGAAGCTATAAGGAAAAACATTCGATTCCAAGAACACGTGAGAAGATTCTAAGGTTAAGATTGCCGCTGGGAGGTAGAGATTGGACACATCAAAATAATTCACAAACTAGTTCACTATATTTCACTAATTTAATTCAACACATGTGTTTCAGTGTCTGCCTGGTCCGGCAATCTTAATTCTAAGGGGTGGCTACGGTCCGTTCGACCGTACATCCAGTCTGCCTAAGGCATTGCAACAAAATTCCAGACGTTTGAGTACCAAGTGGCTTTTATGCAGTCCAGTAGCCCAGGAATCGCTCACAACCCGCCCGCGAAGGTTGTTTCCAATTACCAAGAAGACCCTTTCTTGACCGAAAACTGGGAAGGCAGGTCTTGCAGGTTGGGCAAACGGGATCCTTTGTGCAGAGGCAAACTTCGAGGCTCGAGGCTTGCCACTTCCTGCGGGTCTGGGTATCCGGCCGAAGTAGTAGTTGAAGAAGGGGAAGGTCTTGAAGATAAAGAGGCCAGTGCCGAAAATCAGCCAGTGGTCACGGATGAGGCCCTCCCTCTTCACCTTGCCAGGTTGTCTGCAAGCTTGCCAAGGCAACCCAGCAACACATTCACTATGATCGAGGCACACCCAAAAACAACCGAAGCAAACATCCCGCAGGTGCCTTGCTGTGATCCAGCTCGCCAATGTGACCTCGGTGCTGGCAGTGGGGCAACCTCTCCCAGCTGGGCTATCTGACAAATCTGAGAAGAACTTGCGCATCACTTGCCCAAGTCGTCTGAAGGGCTTTGTTGGGGACACGACAAATCGGAAAGGCCTCGGGTTGTGCTCCCATGAAATATGATGCTTGGACCACAGCATAATGTACGCGCAAATTCCATCGAAGCCCTCAAGATGCTTGAAGCCTCGAGAGCTCATTGGCCATCTTGAAAGGCCAACCAGTTCATCCCTGAGCCAAAAGGACCCAGAGCCTCATAGCATGTGACTGAGCCTAGTCCGTTGAATCAGACGCCTCAGCGTGTCATCCCAAGCAATAGACTAACAACAAATAGCATCGCAAGACTAGCAATTCAATTTCTTACACGGGCTCGCAGACCTGCCAATAGCAATATGCACGGTTTCAAGCTGAGCCGTACCCAACGGGACCCACAGGTTCCAGTACGTGATTTGAGTTCAAGGAAAAGAAGCGATTTAGCACGCTAAGTGTCATGCAGAGATCATTGATCAATCCCTGCCTTGGGTGTGTCTGTCAAAAGGGGAACCCCCTTTTGGCTGGTTTGGAAGGGAAACCACAAGGTAACCCACCTTTCTTGGGGTTTCCTTGAAAAGACACACCCACTTGCGCAAGGAATGCTTGAATCTCCTTTTCTTTTGCTCCCGGTTCCAGAAGCCTCTGGGCTCCCCAGCTGTCCTCCATGCGAGTGCGCATGCAGAACTTGTAAGTCTCCTCCTCGGGGATGTCAAACATCACGGAGAGCTCCGGGTAGTGAAACTTGTAGTCCGATGGGAAGGTAAACCTGCGCCGCAACCAGAAGCTCATCTTGTGTTTTGCGCAGGTCAATGTTTGTGCACTCCATGGTGGCGTCAATGTGCGCACTCGAACCACAGGTTGGACCCCCAGCGGTTAGCAGGCGATGTGGAATGTTAGACGCATGGTTCTTGAGTTCAGCATGTGAACTTACATCAGTACAGCGCTTTATCTGCAAAGAGCATTTGTCTAGGCTCCAAGCGGCGCAGGAAGCATTGTACAAGCATGTTTGTACAGCGCTTCCTCCACACTTTCAGCAATGACAGGTTGCATGTTGCACCAGCTTGGGCATATGCTAGGATAGGAAACAGTGTGCATTCTGGCACAGCGCTTGGATTGCAACTGTTTGCTGAGATCATGAAAGCGCATTTTCTTCGAGCAGGATCCTGCTCTTGCATTGCATCTAAAGCATGCCAGACTCCTCGTACTATACTGGGCTCGGACAACAGGTTGCCCACACATTGTTATCCACTTCACACATAACTCTTTGAAGCAGGCCGAACACCTTCCAGACACATCCAAAATAGGCTCTTGGACTAAGATTTGTGCTTTGGCTCCGGTGTGGGGCAACAAGCAGTAGGTCTGTTCAGCTCCCAAGACAAGCCGGACTATCCAGCCTTCACACCTTGACCCCCTGAGTTCCTTCTACAGCCTCCCCCCTTTACTTGTGACAGGGGAGAGTCCAAAAAACAGAATTGAAAGCCTTGCAGTCTAGAGTCTTCAGTTCCTGGCCTTCAGATTCTTGCAATATGCCCCAAAAACCTAGAGACTTGCCGTTGCATGTTGGGGCCAGGCAGCTGGATCGCATTCCTCTCCGCGTCCGAGTAGCCGTTTTTCCACATGATGGCCTAGTTTCGGGAAATGCTGCTGGATCCCATTGTGCTCCATGCCAGGGAAAGGATTGAAAAGAGCTTCGCTTTCCTTCCTTGAGGCCTTGAGGACGGCCGCTTTTTGGCTCCTGTGGCACATCTTTTTGGCATCGCGTTTTTGTTGGTTGAGTCAAGGGCGCCGGCTAGCTGAAAAAGTGTGTGCAAACGCGAGAAGTTGCCACTTTGTTCAGATGCTTCGTCATTGAATGCCACACCCCTCGTTCAAGGGTCAATCTTGAACTTTCCACACATAATCCCAGTTGCAGGGTTGCGTCAGAAGCATTCTTCGAACAAACTCGTAAATCCGAAGGGTTCTCCAGATTAGCGCGCGGTTTGGTGATGTCTAGGATGGCCAGCATGCGGCCCATGACACCCGTCTGTCCCGCCAACTGCTCCCAGGCAAGGCTCTAAGCGGAGCACTAGCATAGCCAATACGGACCCAGAGTTAACACAGCCCTCGGATTCATACACCCCTGGTTGATTAGCATGGTGTCCCACTTCAGAAGGAATCCTTCACATCCACCGCGTTGATTCATCCCCCACAAGAGCCACAAGCGTGAGGGCCATGTCGTCGAGTCGCTAGCAACTCATCTGTAGTGATGAAGACATCGCTCTCCACCTCGAACGGCCAGGCTCAACCATGCCCCAACGGGGGTGGGGGGGGATTATATACGTATGCATATTAGATTTATATATATATATATATGTATATATATATATATTATATTATACATATTCTGTTTCGTTGCTACTGCTAAGACAATTCCTATGGATTCATGTCAGCTACTAGTAGCATGAACACATTCCTTCCACGATGACGGTTCGCATTGACATTGCAGTAGGGCGTACAACGGAGCAAAAGTTCCCTCTCCTCTAATCAGGCTCAAATGACCTGCCCTCACTGTCAGGCAAACTGCAGGCTGCAAATCCATGTCATCGCCCCAACTCTTCTGCTCAATTCAAGACTGCGCCGATTGAGTGCAGTACACTACGGACAGTCCTTTGTTCGATTTCACAGAGGTTGCTTTGCCTGCCTCCAAACAATTGTATGCTGTCGGACAAAGCCTGGAAAGCATTCCTGTTGCTCACCCTAGAGTCCAATGCTCAGTGCGAACATCAATACACAATAAGAAAAACAAGCGATCAACTCGAACCACACGGGCGACTCAAACAGTCAAACATTCTGAAACTCTTGGAAGTGGTCTTCCCTGAGTGGCTGTGATCCGCGTCTATTTAACCTGTGGATGCAAATGAATGCCCTGTGCACTAAAAGTGTCAAACACCAAACCTTTATAGCACGTCTCTTCTGCCCTGCAGGAAGGAAAGAAGTCGTGATGCTTCGGTCAACAACGCATTAGCGTAACTTAGCTTATCTGCTCTTTGGATCTGTCTCCTGGCAAAAGCGGGTTGTCTGTCAGCGGCTTGGTCATAGTACAGTGTTCACCCTGCTCAAACTGCCATCACTCCTTGAGTCACTGCAATCATCCATCAAAAGCGCCCCTCAGAAGGCCCTAGCCTCTGCCAAATGTACACTGCCGGTAAGATTGACGCCAAGCAGACTGCATTCCAGCAAAAAGGCCCCTTCAAAGAAGCATGACAGCCTGCAAAACACTCCTCTAATTCTCCAAATTTATGGTTTGGAGCCCGGGAAGAGAAAGAAGCCAACACCCCAGCCCCCTTTCGCGTTCTCTTTTCGCAAGGCGCCACGAGGCCGCTCTTGCTGCGCTCCAGGAAGGCCTTGAAGGCCTCCCCACGGCCCTCCTGGTCCGTGACCACCTGCGAGTCGAATCGAGTCGCGCGACTTTTGGCTCGCCTGGCTTTGAAGGCCGGGAGGTTTGAGGCCCAAAGCCTCGAAAACGTGTCAAGTTTCCAGGGTGCTTGGCCCAACATGGTGCTTGGCCACGTTTCAATGCTCACCGGCCTTCAGGTATCGCAGGAAGAGCGGCACCTCCTTGGTGAAGCTGGCAAGGTGGTCCCTCTCCGGCAGGGAAATCAGAAAGTCGTCGTAGTCCACCTGAGAGAGTCGCTCAAACTGGGCTATGTGCGGTTCTCCCTTGGTTCGCATCAAGGAGGTCCCCAACTTTTGGAAACACCCACAAAAAACGCTTCACTTTGGGTTGCACTCGACTCTCTCCATTTGCAGGAGCACGACGTGAAGAGAAAGTCATGAATGTCCATCCTCTTATGATTTGTGGCGTTTGTCGTGAAAACTTGGATCCGGAGAATCGGGTGCAGTCCCTTGGCAGTTTCCATGCTTGACATGTGTGGCACTTCAGGCAAAGCCATGAAGCACCTGCGGCCTGCTTTGATTTGTGTCAAAAATCCACGGGAACGCACGAATCGGGGTGTAAATTATTGCCTCATGTTCTCTCACTCAAACTACTACGCGAACAACAGCCTGAGTACCGTGTAACCTTGACAATGTCAGAACTGGCACTCGGCTTAGCCCCAAGCCTCGGGCGTGCATTTTCTTGTGTTTTTGAATCCCTGATAGCACCTTGACCCAGCTAAGTATCCTTGAGATCACGCTAAGTTTCATGGCCTTCAGGTGGGCTTGTGCAGAAACAGCATTTCTTGCATGTGGCCCATCTCAACATCTCTTGACAGCCCGCTCTGCCTTGATTAAAAACACCCTGTCCCAGCAAACTGCGGCGCAGTTTGCAGTTCAAGACGGCTAGTCCCCCTGTTCATTAGCACGGGATTTCGACTTGAAGCACAAGCCGCGGCCATGATCCGGGCCCCCATTGCAGCTCCCCCCCATGTCGTATCTTGTGTCCTTCGTCCAAAATCACGAACCAAAGGCCGAGAACCAATTCGAAGCCAGGCCGCTCCATCCTTGTAGGGCTTCACGATGTGATACTTGGTGATATGGGCGCCTCGGTGAAGGCCAAAAGAGCTGTGGAGTCATGGGCAGAATCGAACACATGTAGCAGTTCGGAAGGCTTGTGTCAGACAAGTTGTTCAAGCGATTGATGTCCATCTCCCTCCATCACACAAAACAGGCTTCCCCGCTGCTTTCATGGGCTGGTGTCAAAGTGGTTCGTCCCAGCCATGTGGGCTGCAATTGACTAGGTCCCAAAAAGTGATGGCGAATCTCCGGCGAGACATCTCCGCCCATCACAAACACACCCACATATATATACACACACATACAAACAAACAAACAAACAAACAAACAAACAAACAAACAAACAAACAAACAAACAAACAAAGACACACACACACACATGCGCGCGTCGCACACGGCACACAAGTCACACAAGTCAAACAAGGCACACAAGTCACACAAGTCACACAAGTCCCTGAGTTCTCTGCATCCTTTGCGTTCCCCAAACAAGGGCTTGCTTGCTTCCCGCATTCACAATGCGTCTCTGGGACTGGTGCTGACAAGCCCAAGGCCTTTTCTCCCAACGGCAACTTAAGCAAACAACTAGAACCGAAGGGGCAGGTTCACCCACAAATAGGATCGAATCTAAGAAGCCAACTGATACGTGGGCTTGCCGTTTAAAGGTTGGGTTTAAAGTCTATTTTGGGAGATCAAAAGCAAGCCAAAATTGGGGTCATTTGAAACCCACGTGGACTCCGTCTGCACCAAATCCTCAAGGCCCTCAAGTCTCTCAAGTGGGACGAGCTTGGCGCCTAAGCCTCCAGAGTCGAACAGTCCAAAGGTCAAAAGGTTGGCACCCTGGTTTCAGCAACCACCCCAGCTCACCCAGAGTCGACCTCATATGGCGCGCCAAGGCTAGTGTGCCTTGCGACTCCTGTGATACAAAACCGACTCTAGGGAGATGTGAATCAATCGAATATAAGGAGACACGAATATGTTAAGAAAGCTTTAAGCACACTACAGGAAACTTCTCCATCGGCGCTGCAATATGAAGTTTTGACAACTTTCTCATGACAAACCCGAGCCGTTCATTCACACGCGTTTGCTGGCTGGCCATTATTCCAAACGTCCAGTAAGGTGTCTTTAGTTCAAATTCAGAAGCAAAGGTTACACAAGGGAGAAGACAGGCAGCAAGATCACTGAAGGTCCGGGCTTGCTTCTCTTGAACCGCCCTCTCCCTCTCTGCCACGGCGCCACCGGGACTCTTCAGCACGGGCAACGACCTGAACGCGGGGCTCATGGGTGACTTGTCACGTCCACATGGCGTAGGTGCAGCAAGCGACTCCAGATCTGCGCTTTCCGTTGGCATCAGCTTTCACAGCAACACTACGCCGCTATGGCCGACGCAACGTTCCAGCCAATGCCAGTTCGCCAGCATGAGTACCAGTGAGTACGCCAGGCAACAAAAGATAGAAGAGTTGTGTTTTTTTGACCAGCAAAGCAAAGCAAAGCAAAGCAAAGCAAGGATTGTGATAGCTACAATGCGGCTGGCATGCAAGTTCGCAGCAAAAATGTGAGATTGCGAGTGTCCGCCCTAGATATAAAGGCTGGTCACATCTTCGGAAAGCTCAACAGCTCGCAGCTCCATTCGTCCCACTAGCCTTTTCTCCAGACTCGAGACAGTGGGACGTTGGCTCGCACAACTCATACAACCGCAAGGCTGTAGCAGAACACGTACAGCTAAGCGCCAGAAGTTGCCAGGGACCTCCCTGCAAGTGCGGTCGCGGGCATCGCCAAGGAACACCAAATATTGTCTCTCAAAACCGACACCATGCAAGTGTGCAGCATACAGCCATTGGGGAAGCTCACAAAGCGGGCTTGTACGACCTTTGCAAATCTGCCTGCTTGCTATAGGGCCTGCCTTCTCCACTCTCTCAGTTTGCTCCCTTATTCATGAAGCAGTTGTAGTTTGGCAAAGGCTCATTCGCGTCATACGGCGCCAACACGGGAAAGCTATATCTTTCCGTGGCATGCCCGCTCTGCCGCAGTGCCAGTTCCCATCCGTCCCACGAGGCCCCCCTTGCCGCCTTTGCCAAAATACGCCGCTTGGCACTAGCTGAGGCCCTGGCACATTCCAAAACGCCCGCGCCTGGGACGCCAGCACACCTCAGCGAGGTATGCCCGGTATGCCCATCTCGCCAGGATGGCGCATTGCTAGAGCATCTAATCCAGGGTCTTAAAAAACGAACTTGCGCAATGAGCCTGAAAGGGGGCCGGTCGCTTGTTTCTGGACATTGTTTTCTTCCAAATCATCATGTCGGCGCCTTGGCGCCTTGGTTGCAGTTGGCTTATCAGCCAACTTCACCTGGACCTCTGAATTGGGTAGAGGTCCATACCGATATTACTGTAATTTTGCTGGTCCCCTTGCCTAGAACCCTCCACGGGCGGTTAAGCTATCCAAATCGCGTGGGCGACAGGCAGCCCTCCTTGGTGCCTTCTTTCCGTAGCCAAAAAAGGGCCACAAGCAAGGCCCTTTTAAGCATCATCCAACATGACGCACAAAATATGCTAAGAAGGAACAAAAAGTGCTACGGGCGGCAATATCCAACATCCGACATATCCCAGCATTCGAGTTCAAGCTCGAAGCAAATGTAGCAACAGCTTGCGCTCTTGCTGTCAAAGCAAAGGAGCGCCTTGGCAAGTCAGGAAACCCCGCCCGCCTCAGCTCCTGCAAACGTGCCCGCAGGCAGCCAGCAGAGCCAACACCCCCTGATTAACATGGAACCCCAAACGCCAGAAACGCCAGAGGAATCTCTTTTTGGATCGCTCTAGGTTCCATGTTAATTCGGAGGAGTGACCAACCCACTTTGTCCAAAGGCGGCCAGACCTCGCGCCCCTTCAACACCTCTGGCGCCCCAGCGGCGGGCGCCCAGCGCGCGGAAGGCGTGCGGGGCCTGGGGATCTCAATGGGACTCACGGCATTCCATGGCCGATTGTCTTTCAAATTTTGATGGGCTGTAGCCGGTTGAATTGGGTCATTTCTTGAGCCTAGGCGTGACTTATCCTCAAGTCCAGCTGCGGTTCCCGAAGGCTGAATCCCAACTTCCATCTTCAGATTGCTACATAGCCACGTTCTTGCCCTGACAAGATTTATGACACATTGTACAGATTCCAAACGACATCAAGTACGACCTTGAATTCTCTTGAGAAGCCATCGCCCGACTCCTGCGATTCAGTTGCCGACATGCCTAGCGCGTGAAACCTCTCGAGACAAGTGCAGCGGTCCTTTGACAACCGGGCCAGCCGGCATGTCGGCTCCAGGCACTTTGCTCTCGTTGCCAATTGGACTATCCCAAAATATCCAACTCAAATGCATTGTTTCTCTCAAGCCTCTCGTGGCTGGGTGCCGTGCCAGCATGGTGCAAATCTCGTCCTGTTGCCTGCAAGGCAAAAATCCGGACATTGTGTTCGGAAGCCATAAGTACAGACACTGTCAGATGTTGACTTAGTTAGATGAAGTTGTAGCCTGACACGTGCAAGATTAGTTTGGTGAAATCATGAGACTGAGATGTTGCGGACATGAGCTGGAAGTTCACATTTTAGGAAGTGCCCCCTTCCTGCTATGAATCACTCCAGCACATCAACCGAAGGAGAGCCTAGACTTGTCTGGTCCGTGGAATTATTTCAAGCCCAGTGTGTGCGTGTGTGTGTGTGGGCCATCCTCAAATAGCGCATTAGTGTTCTAAAATTATAACAGTTTCCTGAAGGTGCCACTAGTGTGGGTTGATTTGTTGTTGAGTGGGGCAACATGCACCGACCTGAAGGAGAAGAACCTTCATCGTAGGGTAGTCTAGAAATGTGAAACAAACATTTGATCAAGATGCTCATGAGCAAGATAATCGTTAGGTACACACGAACATGATACAAATGGATTGGAACATGATACAATTGTTCAAGGAAGTGCTTTCAGGTTCGTATAGCCCATTGCAAACGCTGTCGAGTTTTCATGCGCAGTGGACGAAGCTATAGTAGCGGCTATAAGACCTAGCGGCGGTCATTTGCATTTGATAGACAACTTAGATCGCTGCAATCCACGTCGAAAGCCGGCGGCAGCAGCCTGCTGTGTGCTCCGGCATTGAGAAACCTGATATTTTCAGGTCACGTGTCAGATCTGGAAACTAAGCGTTGTGACGCCCCCTTTCCCGAAAATTGCCCCACCCCTGCCTCCGGGCACGGTGGCAAGGTCCCAGCGCTCAAAGCCGAAACGCCAATGGCGCAGCGCACAGATTAAGGGAGGGGCTCTTGACCTTCTCGAGAGGTGAACCTCCTCCCCCCCGCCTCCCTCCCCACATGCGGCAGATATTGCGATTGTATACATCACACACTCACACTTACCTCTGCCTGCAAACCGGCTCGAGTCCATCTGTTGCAAGCCGTCGTCATATTGCCTTCCCAAATCAATCCGAACATCTCTGTTGTGAGGCCCTCGCCAGCGATGCCGATGCGCATGCTAAGAGAGATCTTCTGGAAAGGGCAAACATCGCCAATTTAAGCAGTCCGGCCTATGGAAGAACTTTGGCCTATGGGCCACATGCTGGTCTTTGTCTCCGCTGTGCTCTCAGTACCGAGCAGGAACGGAAGTTCTGCCAGCAAGTTATCAGCGCAGCTCATGACTTGTCTGCTTCGCATATACACGGCAGCCCGGCCTGGACAGCCGCATGAAAGTGTTGGTGGCGTTCTGAACGTCTCTCACTAAGACAATCAAGCCACAGTCCTGGAGCCTGCTGCGAGAAAATGAGAATGCTTTGCCTGCCAGAACCGCGTATTCGAATCTGAGATTCGAATATGCAAAGTTGGACAGTTGCAGATCCCACCGAAGCCACGATTCACTGCTATTCGCATAGGATTTGCACAATTCCCAACCCACGTCCAAAAGCGACCGTCATTCGGTCCGGGCAACCCCCCCCCCCCCGGCAACCCAACATGTTGCTAAACAAAGGGGAGCAACTGCATGCCAGGCTGCAACACATAGCTTCAGCAAAGAAGAATAAAACAACAAACGCAAGAACCGCTGAAAGTGGCTTTGGATCAGCTCAGGTCAGCGTCACTCGAAGCGTTCGCGAGCAATCCAAGCCAGACGTTTTCCTGTCGCGCTGGTCAGTTCCTGCCACAGAAGAAGTCCGCGCGGAATTCAAAGCCCCGAGCCAGACGCGAGCCTGAAAATAAAGAAGTTGGAAGGGAGCTAAAACATATTTTAATAGTTGGTGTTGTGTTTGCCTCGTTGCGACCCCAAGAACACCTTGCGACAATTCAGTGTTTGCTTAGATTTGCACGATCCAAAGTCAACATGTACGAGAAATGGGACAAACCCGGCCATGACAATAAATGACGATAAATGACCAAAACGGCAAAGAAAGAAGGAAAGAACACTAACAGCGCCATCACTGGGCTGGATGCAAACACCAACACGAAAGTGTCAAATTCTTGTTCTCTACCCCTCACAAAAATGAAGGGAATAGAGCGCTCGGATTGGTGTGACGCTCACGGCTTCGAATTCGTCTCAGCTTCGCTCTGGGCTCTGATCTTCACTCCGAGTTATTGGACCGCCGGTGCCCAAATGCCAACTTTCGGCGAGGAAAGCTGAGCCACTTTGAACGCAGGGTAGGTCAAAGAGGGCAAGACGGAGACGTAACAGACAGGTATACATCGCAACCCTAAGGTAGCCAGAAATAGGCATGCGGCACAATGATATGTTGCTTATATGTGTATAGTTTCTCCATATATATATATATATACTTTGGCATATGAATACCCTCAACACGGCCCAAATGGCTGCAATCAAAGTTTGGAAAGGATTGCCGCTCCCCTGCAGAAGCCCTGTGTTTAGCCGCAAGGCAACCACCACAGCTTCTTGAAACACTGCTCAACCGAAATATGCAACATGCACAGCAAGAATTGACCTCTTCTCCACGGTGCAGTGCTGCAACATGTTGAGGCCAAACAAGAAACATTGCTTTGGCCAACTCACGCATGCAACTCACGTATCATGCCACAACCCATACAGATTGCACCAAATCCGCGTCAGCGCCTCGAAAGTGACCTATGTTGCAACGACTTGGGGAACCACTCGATGAGTGTCCGATGTCGCTCAAACAGGCTGCATTGGAGTCAGGGTCCCGGAAAAGACTCCGGGCAAACGGAAAGGCGTGCCAAGACTCCTCAAACAAAACACAAGTCAGACTGTGCAGTCATTCAAAGCCACTGGCTTCATTCTGTCAAAACCCCAGTTCTGTGATGGCAGAAATCAGAGTAGCCTTCTCACGTGGGGAAGCCAATAAAAAAAGGAAAGGGTTTCACTGAACTGGAGTTCGACGTGAACTTCCCCAGATCAACGTCTCACGCTAAAAGGCTGTCAGAGCCTTGGCATCCTTCGTGCATCTTGGAGGCGCGCGGTGTTTTGGCTTCGCGCAAAACCTTCAGAGACTGCCTGCGGGCGGAAGGAAGCAGGGGCTATGCCCTATGAGACAACTACTATAAGGGCCTAAATAATTGGAATGGGGTTGCAGAGTGCTGTAAAACCGAATAAGCCCATGATCATGATCATGGGAGCATGTTGCAAGTATTTAGCTCCTTGGAGTACCTTAGCGCGCATTTCAGTCGCCACCACAAGTGAGCCTGTGGTCCAACGAACGAGTTGCACAAAAAGACGCGCAGCCGGTGGAAGGTTAAACGAGGCTCAAACGTGAGATGGGACAAACCATTTGTAGCGCTGAAGGACCAGACGAGGTGTAGCAGCACATCATAACGCGGTGCTGCTTGAAATGGTGTGGCTGTGGGTCAAAATTAAACCACCAGGGGACCGCAGGTTGCAGTCCAAGTTTCCATTTACCAGGGTTCCAGTTTGGGTACATATTGTTGACCCACAGCCGTGTGTGATGCCCGGGAAACTACTCTTCGGCTTGGGTGCAGCTAATGCAACGCAATCCTAAGCACGGCAAAGAAAACCCACCCTTGGAGCTACGCTGAGATGCTTAAGGAGCAATCTGAGGCAAGAGTTTTGACCACCTTGAAAGCAACCCTTGGCAGGTCATGGCGCCTTTGCGAGCCTGTTCGCGTGCCTAAATACGGTCAAAGAACTGGCGATCTGAGTGCAAGGAGAAGATGACCTTTGAACCTTTTGAGTGACAGCCGGCAATCATTTTCCCTAAGTTGCTGTGAATCTGCGAAGGCTCTTCTGCGCAGGTGCAGCATGCTACCCGACTTTCAGGCCAAACGAGCTGATGCCTTCGTGGCCCGAATCTTGATCTTGAGAAGTGGCGTAACCAGAACTTGCCCAAACCCACCAGAACCACAACTGCGACAGTGTCTGCGGGCATCCTAAACGCGACGCGGAGGTGCGGGGCTCGGAGGCTTCTCGTTTCCTTGGCCAATGGCTTACGCATCCACTCCATGACCCTGGCCAATTGGTCCAACGCCTGGTGTGTGGCATCAAGGCAGGCAGAACACGTGGCTGTCGTTGCTTGCGCTGTTCGGTTATACTGTTTGCGCGGCCAAATGCACTTTGCAGCCTTCATGTCACGCTATCATATACCACCCCGTACAGCAAGGTGTTTCTTGCTCCATGACCAATACATGCGATCAAGCCGCTCAAACTGCGAACCTGATGCAATGCAAGACGCAGGGCAAGGCTTGGCCGTGCCACGCCAATCTGTTGGACTCCAAAAAGCTGATCCACTGAGGCGCGCCTAGTGCGAGACGAAAGCGGAGAAGGCATCAATGTCAACCTGCACATCGGCGATGTTATCTGAGGAATGGCAGACATGTGGACTTGGGTTTTCGTGGGTATGGCTTCCTTAAATCAGATTCCCTGTACTGTATTTTCAACATTCCTTGAAACCAGGGCCGCTGTTAATCTTCTTGACAACCAAACGCGAACTTTCATGTCTCACAAAACAAAAAGAGTGCCCTTGCCAAATATGTCAGATTGTCTAGTTGTGTTCCAGGATTCCTGCGTGTCAATGCTTGCCTGCAAAAATAGAAGCTTGTGCCAGTCCCGAAATGGGGATTCCCCTACGGGCACAACATAGCCAAGCGAAAACCATGCAATGAAGAGAGCAAGGCAAATGCTCGGGATGTACACTGCGCCACACCCACTCAGGGAGGGTGAAAAGCCAAAAGCCATCCTCGTAACCTTGACCTGCAGAATGGCATTGTGCCAGGTGGGTTATCCTCATAGTAAACGGCAAAGGGGCAACAAGTGCAATATCATGCTAAATCAACTGCCCAGCCTTGCAGCCTGGCAATGATGGAAAGGAGTTGATAAACACTCCAAGATTCTGCTGACTGTACAAACCCTCCCCCCCACGCTCCCCCAGCGCGGGCCAGGCTTCCTTCGGCCTTTTCATAGCGTCTTTCACGGGCCCGCCCCCCTCCTCCCCCTCCCCCTCCTGCCCCGCGCCCCCCACCCATCCCGTGACTGCTTGCGACTCCGGCGCCTTCGAGCCATCCATCTGATAGAAGCCATTGCCCTGTCCCTGCGAAGCAGGGGTCTGGGGGTCCTTGACAAGCTGGTGACACATGAACTTGGCCTCAGGTGACATCGGCTTGTCTTGCAACAATCCCTGGTCTTTGTCTTGACTCACAAGGGCATCCACTCACCTTACAAAAACGAAATCGGCGTGGCACGGCCATACAGCAGGCAAACTGTGCAGCTGAGCGAGGCCTCTCAGGCTTGCAACAAACAAATCCAAAGCGTGGAGGTATTTGTATGACCCTTCCGTCGCGCTGTTGGCTCCAGTTGAACAAACATTATCGGGGTCCTTAAGGCGGATTTGTCACGATCTATCCCATTCAAAACTTGGGGGACACCATGGCAAACTCTTGCGCGGCGCCTCGATCGGTGCCGCAATTTGAGTTGAGCCTTGCTGATGTGTTGAGTGTCAATTCTATCTCGGCAGTGGGCACGCGTGTCCTGTGCTTTGTGTCGTGCATTTGTATCAAGTGGCAGGAAAAATGCAAATGTTGTAAAGCACAGGTCTGCATGGGCAAAAAAGTCAGAACTCCAGAAGCAAAAAAGAACGGAGTGTCTTTCACCTATGATTTATACATTGGCAACTTGCACGGCCAAAGCCCCTCACCCCAAAGCGCCGCCAGTGCTCACGTGCAAACTATCACTTGTTCAGATTATGCAGCAATTTGAGAATGCATAGTTGTGCAGTCAAATCGGCGCGCATCTTCCTGCACGGCACACGTTT